AGGTAGTACACTTTTTTTTTTGGCACCATATTGAACTTCGTTGCGCATTATGTGGTGAAAACGGAACTTAAAACCATCGCGGAACTCTTATATTTAGTAATGACGAGAGATATTTAAACAGGCATGAGCAAAATCGTCATCGAACTGATTTAAAATATTTTTCAACTGTCATTTCAAAAGCACCGGCTCACGGCATAATCGTAATGTTGCATTATAAATAATTATTAACATAGTAGCTATGAATAATAAGTTTACAATTATTAAGGCAATCATCGATATTGCACAAATTGCCCAACGTCCACATTGGAACTCGTGTCCACAATAATTGATATATTAAAAATAATGATTGGAAATCTAAACACAATTAGTATGTTTATATTCGTATACGAAATTTGTGTATCAACTATTTAGGTTTCGTTCATGCAACTCGCATAGTGTTTTTACTTTTCAAATTAAATTCTAAGTGGAGCGAAGAAGCTTATAGTTTTACAAAGATATTTATATTATTTTTTTTTTTGTGTATGACTTTTCTACCAGAAATCTTGCTCCGATTTTTAAGTGCAGCACCTTATCTGAAAGTAAATCGGACTGGGGAGGTACTTTAAGGAGGTTATTTTTTTATTTTCTCAGGAGTTTTCTCAACAAATTGGAAAAACCGGGAAAATCATGGGAAACCCGAGAGAACGGAAAATAGGTACAATATTAAACAAATATTATTAAAGAAAATATATAATGCCTATGTTGTTATTTTATCTTAATATGGGATATGAATTGTGTACAAAGCAACACTTCGCACAGTATCGTTTTTTCGTTAGCAATTGGTTATCGTTGCTTATAGATATACACTAAATTTCCCCTCTACAACCTTCCCAACTTCTCACCTATAATAGTGGCTACACCCACGTGGCCACGTGAGAAGTAGTCCGGCTTTCCATTACTTTGTCCGCAATTAGAAAACTCTTATAGTTAGGTAGGTACCTACTTATCAATTACTATTTTTTCCATTATATATTTGTGAACTTAAAACGGCTGTAATATAATATCTTCCAACAACCAATTATTTGTGCGGAAACACTATTAAAATATTATATTACATATTACAATATTGCGCATAATAATATCGATTATGATGTGCATGTATTATAATTTGACAGTAAAATAGTTACAAATTTTGAAACTAATTTCGAATGCCGAAATCAACATCTCAATCAGCAAATTAAATTGATGTAAACATATTCCAGATGTGTTGAAAAACGCCACATGCGAGTAAAATATAAAAATGTATTGAAATATTTGTGTGTTTGTTATAATATTTATATATACAATGTATACACACACATATATATATTTATAAAAAAAAAAATGATGCAACAGTCGATAGATAAGTGAATATAATAATGAATGTGGTCTGTAATTCATTTATGATGATAACGACAAATGACAATATTCATAATGTTATTATTATTTATTATAGCCTATAGGTGAATAATGATAGTGTAGTATGCATCTGTTTAGTGTTTAAAAAGCATATTATAAAAATAATTACATTGCAATTTATCAAGTTATCTACTCACTTTTTTTCTATTGGTTTTACTATAAACGATGATATGTGTTTTTTTCCTGAAAATAGAGATTATTGCACTGTATTGTGTCTGTTTTATTTATATGCATTTTCCCCGGTAAATTTGAACACTTAGCTCAATTCCAGAATTTTATTTAATAAGCAGATTGAAGTGATAACATTTTGATTGAATTTCAATATGAATGGCATCATGCCATTACGGTAGGGAGGTTTTTTTTGGCTCAGTAGGTTCACACTTACAGATCTCACAAGTGATGCCAGGATCTAGGGGCGTATTATACCTACGTGTATGGTATACATATCAATGATATGTCTTTTAGTGATTTTAAATTTCAACCCCCTCTCCAACCATTTGTAAGCCGATATTTCATATTTTCACGTGAAATATTGGGTTTTAAATACTCTTACAGACTCATAAAAGTAAGAAACTTGGTCAAACTGAGTAATATTTATTAATTTAATTATTGTCGAGAATGTGTCTTTAGCAAGGCCGTATATGGGAAATTTGTTCGTATCGTATAATGTTGTAGGAAAGCAACTGTTTCAGTCTTTAGAATAATCAACAAATATTGTTGGTTTACTACAAATAAATAAATAATAGTAGACTTGTGATAAGTATATTTATCTAAAGGCCGTTTAAAAGATTTGAACTTCCAACCCCCGTCTGTTTGTATTTTATCAAAAATTTCGAGAACTACTATACCTATTTTGATTTCCAACGTAGATTTTTTTTTTCAAATCCTTATCATTATGAAAAAAAATCATAATATTATAATAAGTCAGCTGGGGAAAAATTCGACTTACGTGACGGAGAGATGACTGCAGTCCATGTATTTTTTTTCAGTCTGTACAAAACTTTTTTACCAGAATTCTTGCTTCTATTAAAAAATGCCAAGAGGCCGTTTTTAATTTAACAGCATTTTTAATCTAGTTGGTAGGTACACAGGATCAACTAGACCACTAACTTTGGTTATGCAAAAATTATAGACACATTACAAAGTTGAACGTAATGCTTGGTCCACACTGAGACGACACAGAAACAAACAAAAACTCAACCTTTTTTTTTCTCTTGTCCACACATACCAAACACGTTTGTTTCGAAATTGTAAACTCATTTTCAAATATCAGATATTCATTCAGTCACTGAAGTTCGAGCAATTCAGATGTAAATAAAAATATAATACAATTTTGTTTATAGTGAATTAATACAGATTAAAATTTGGAAAATAAGAAAATATATTAAAGACAACGAAGATTTATTTATGCTAGATGTTGGATATATTTATTTACAACAATAAAAATAAAAATAATAAATAAAAAACGTTTTTGGGTAAGACTAACATTACAAGTTTAAGTGGAGAACTTCGATCTAGTTTTAAATATTTTGTAAGGATGTCATCAGATGCTGAAAACTTTATAGCAATTAAAAAAAAAAAAAAAAAAAAACAGTAATTGAGATTTAGTATTACTGAACGCCTATCATTAACTAATTTGCGATTTTTGACAACAGGAAACTCTTACCATAGCTTGATGTACCAGTCAGTAGAGTATCTACTCAGTCAATATCGTTAGTAGTACTAATAGTAGTTAATCTGTTGGTTATTTTTAAAACACTTTCCACACACGTTCGACAATGTTCGCCAAAACAAAAACAAAAACCTTTTGATGTTTACCGACACCGCTCGGGACACGACTTTGTTTTTAAAAACACGAACAATTTGTTGAAAAAACATAATTTTTTTAATTTTTTTAAGATCAAATTTTGATGAAAATCGTAAATATTCCGGCATTTCAAAACATGTATAACTAAACTTTATTCAGAATCGTATTTCGTTAATAACGGTTTATTAGATATAAATTAAATAACTTTATGTATCCTATGTTCTCAACTTCCCACTTACGACAGTGGCCATCAGCAGTATCAATGCTTTTAGATTTTGAATAGAGAGAAGAAGCTTATGGTTTTACGAAATTTATTATTATTTTTTTTATTTTTATCAGTGCGCAAATTTTCTACCAGAAGATTTGCTCATATTTCTACGTGTAGCATCTTTTATGAAAGGAGATCGGCGTGGGGAGGTACTTTGGGGAGGTCATTATTCGATTTTCTCAGGATTTTTCTCATCAAATATGAAAAACCGAAAAAAAACTAGAAATCATAAGAAATATACCTACATTTCTTAAGTACCTATTAGTTAAAATATATTACGGTTTTTTTTCTGTGCACAACTTTTCAATCAGCAATTTTGTTCCAACTTTTAATGATAACAATGTTTCTAAAAGGAAATTTCACTAGCGAGGTACTTTAGAGAGATCATTTTTCAATTTTCCCAAGATTTTTCCCAGAGAATGTGAAAACCTGGATAAAACATAGTAAAACTTGGAAAAAATTAGGAAAACTGTAAAAATCGGTACAACATTAAACATATATTATTAAAGTAAATATATAAAGCCTGTTCAATTATTTTACTATAAAATGGCATATATATTGTTGACAAAGCATCACTATCAAGTGAACTCTGCTCAGAATCGTTTTTTCATAAACAATGATTTATTGTTACTTACAGGTATACATTAAATTATCTGTAACGGTGGCTGCACCCGTTCCCATTATCTTAATACGTATTTTTCATTATTTGATTTAGGTACTTCAGACGAACATCGTACGTTTTGTCATTTTGTACCCAACAATTATTCGTATAGGTACCTATTTTATATTATTTTTAATAATGATTATGGTAAATTTACCAGCAGATACGGCGCAATACCACCGTCGTCGTCGTTGGTAAAATGTCATAACGTTGGCGATTGCGCATCAAACGAATCATAATACTTACGGGTATTAACGGGTATGGATGCAAAAATCTCTTTAGTTTAGCGGGGGGGGGGTGAAGACCCCATAAAATCGATTACATATTCTCAATGTATACTTGATAAGGACTTGATTTGAGGGGGGGGATAAGTCCCCCTTCAGTATTTCTGCTTATATCGAAATACCTATACGAGAAGTTTGAATCACATAATATTATAACCGTCAGCGTTTTGATACAAATTATTACTGTAATAAAATATTGTTATAGTAATTATGTAATGTGTACGAGACAATAAATCGTAATGTACCCGCATAGGTTCAAACAGTACGTCATTGTGTGCACAATAAAATGCACCGCGGTGACCGTTCGCCGTTCACGGGACTCGGTGACGGTTCGTTTAGGTCACACTGGTCACCCCGCGCGCCCACTCTGCTTTATGTTGTGTGCGTATGGACGAGTGTGTGTGTGTTCATCTACTTGCGAGTGCGTGTGCATCTGGCAGGCGCGGATGACGCGTATTGGCGACGCACGACGGCGGCAACAACAATGTTCGTGGTGGCCGCCGGTACTCGTGTGTAACCTCCCTCCCGCTTCCGGCCGAACCCCTGCGCCGTGACGCGACAACCCGGTCTGCTGGTCGCATACAGGCGGCGGCATTGATAAACTGATAACGTAAACTTATCGTAAACATTAAACATTATACGGCCAGCCACCAGCTGCAGTAGCCTGCTACCAGAGCCACTAATCACTATACGACTGCAGTTCACAGAACGCTACGAGATTGCTCTCCTGCGGTCCTGTCTACCTGTACGTTGTCGCTACCGCGGTCCGCCGACGTCAAGTCATCTCATCAGTAGTCATCTCTTTAGTTTCTTCCGATATTTTAATGCATACCGCCCTGTTATCGCCGTCGTTTATTGCGCTGTGCGGTCCGCGTCCCATGTCGTGGTAAAAATGTTAGCGCTCGTCAGTTGTTTGTCGATCGGCGGACACAATGAACGTACCTTTTCAAACAGCAACACGATTCGGGAAGTCGTTCAGTAAAGGCGATTTCTTCGTCTCGCTGATACTCTGCTTCAACTACTACGGCTACCGCTCAACAACGACGATTCGTTTTACACGCCCGCAGTATTAGTTACACTTGCCCGTATACCGTACACACATATCGTCTGGGAGATGTGGATAGCAACATGGTATTTGAGCTTCGTCTTGTTCTCGTGTCCCAATTGTCTGCTGTTCGTTTGGGTCGGAACCGCGACCGCCCAATCTCTGATCATCGACGAACGACCCGGTAAGTATCCAGGTGGTACCTTTTCTGGAATGAAATTCTATCCTATCTATAGCCATCTATACTCTATCCTATTATTGTTCTCCAAACAGTGTTTTAATTATTTCTTCGGATTCTCATTCCACCGTAATGCAATTCTTTGTCAGTCACTTAATTTGAACATTTTGTTACCTATCTATAATATATTATAGAGTAGAGTCGCTCTTATCCGGTCATCGCTAGTCCGGACAATTTATATTTCGTACTTTAGTATATACTTTTATATATACATATTATACATATATATAAATATTATATAAACATGATTTATGTTAACGTCGATTGTTATCTACTATAAGACGTATTAGATTACTTATTTATAGCGTAACTATAGACAGTGACGTACTTATATAGAAATTAATTTGAGGGGGAGGTTATAAAAAAAGCTTTTGGGTTTTAGATAGTACATAGATCAAGTAGATTCATAAATACGCACGTGTACTGTACCAACCATACATTTTTCGGAGGAGGGTCAACCCCGATACCCTCCCCTTATTACGACACTGACTGTAGGTACCTATACGAAATTGGAATTATCTAATGAAGTTTTCATGTTTTTTATACTGTACAGTTGTATTGGTATAATACATATGAATGTGCAATGTAAAATAAATCAATACATTTTTATAATTTTTATAAATAATGTGTTATTTTTTTTTTTTTGAAAAATAAGTTGAAAAAAACATTATTCCGTTTAATCTGTATTTTCAATAATCTGGATAGAATCCGGTTCTATCAAGTCTGGATCAAAGGGACTTTACTGTAATAATTTCTATTATCCAAGTAACAATAGGATTTGGTTTTTCTAATGTCTAATTTACATATAGGTACTTATATATAAATATTTTGTTGGTGTGTATTAGTTCAAGTACTAGAGTTTCAATGGTTTATTTATTTTTTGGATAGGTAAATACTGCAATATTTCATTCTTAAGGTTTGGATAAAGTATCAAATCCCAAAGTTTCAATAAGTACTAGATAGGTAATTATTTAAATTGGTATTTGTATAATTTTTAAATATTACCTAACGATAGTTCAAATTAAATTCTAAACATGTGATTGTGCAAGGAGGTACAGCACGGCAGTATTTTAAATTTAAAAAAAAAATGTAACTATTATATTCAATGTAGGTAGTTATAGTACCTACCAATTAAAAATAATAATAAAAAAAAAACTTGAACAGATAAATAAAATACTAAAAATATGATTAATTAATTTATAAAAGTAGGCTTGGTATCTACCTAGACTACAAGTATTAAAATAACATATTTAATTTTGCGTTAGGTTTTATCCATTTTTATAATTTATTATTTAATGCAGAATGAATATTTATCAATCAATATTACCTACCTATGTCTCACACATAATAAATTATATTCCCATATTTCTAATAAGAATGTATTCAATTTTCTGTTTACAGTTTTTGCTATAAGCAAACCACATAACTTAAGTATAGCTAATGCAACGAGTCGAACAATTACATTAACATGGCTTGCGCCAAATGATGGAAATGATGCTGTAACTAATTATAGTCTTTATTATGTAGACGGAAACAATACTTATGCAAAATTAATGCCAAACACACATATATACACAATAGTAGATCTCAGTAAGTTGATTACTTACTTTTTTTTAATAAGTATTGCCTATGACTTAAATTCAATTTTTATTTTTTTTTTCAAATATACTTATTTAGCTAGATATTTAGATTTATTAATTTTTTTTTTTTTCAAACATTAGGTTAGGTTTTTACATTTCCTTTTTAATGCAATTGCTACCTAAATTTCACTTCTCTAAATCTTACTTGTTTAATTAATATGCATAAACATGCTTAATAACAATAGGTATAGCATAATGTAAGATTAATCAAAGTCTAGAATTTATTTTTTAGAAATATTTTAATTTTATAATATTGTAAATGAAAACTCTATTTTAGATTCTGAGTAAATTTAAAAAGCTATTTAGTTTACTTTGACTTGTACTTTTTTATTTAGATACATAATGGCAACTTAGGTAATTAGTTAATTTTTTATTTACTGTATCTATTCTTGATTTCTAAATGTAATATTCATACTCTGTAAATTAATAGATAATATATTTTTTCGTCAATAATTTGGCTTCATTAAATTTAAAAAAAAAAAACCAATAATTTATGCTCTATAAGTTAAAAAAGTTCCAGAATAAAAACTTCAATGATTTTTTTAGGCAATATATTATTTAAAAAAAAAAATTGATAAAATATTATAAAGATTGAAATTGAAACAGTTATTTGATTTAAATTTTTAATAAATATTATTAATAATGAAAAATAAAACAATTATATTAAAAATGTGTTTATTTATTTAAAATTTATTATATTGCTATTTTTATACTAAAATATTTCAAAAACATTGTATAAAAAAATATATTACATTATTTATTTTAACTTTCCTATACTGCTATATTATATGAAATGTACAGAAATAGAAAGTATTAATTTTTATATAGAAATAAAACTTTAATAAAATTTTAATTTTTACATTAGTTAAATTACGTTTATATACACATTTTTAATGTTTAATGTATTTATAAATGTCTAGAACCTTACACAGAGTACCAAATGTACATTGTTGCCAAAGGCGAAAATAATATAGTTAGTGAACAATCAGAAACAATAAATCAATACACTGATGTCGATGGTCCGGGACCGCCAGTTATTATGAATGCCACATGTGTACCAGGAACTAGTGGAACTTCTATTTTTTTACAGTGGGCTCCTCCTGAACATTTTTATAAATCTGTAGATGAATATATTATATCTGTTTCAAAAGACCCTAATTATGTTCAGAGATACAGACTTTCATTAGAAAAAGATAGTCTCAATATAAGCGTATGTGATTTATGATTTTTTAAATAGTGAATTTCTATTTTTCATCATTTATTATTCATTATTATATAATTAGTTTAATTATTATTTTTTTACAGTTACAATATAATTATATTGTTCAAAATTTAACTGATAATACAATGTATGAATTAAAAGTAAATGGAGCAACAAAAAGTTATCTAGGAAAAGATATAATTGAAGGTGAATCTTCAGAGCCTCGTACAGTGTACTTACACAAGGACTGTGATAATTTTAATTCTATGAAAAACAATCATTATTTAATTGAAAATACTAAATCACTATTGATTGGTTTATGTTGTGTATTTGGATTACTATTTGTTGTGGCTGCTGTATTGTTTTGGCAGTAAGTTGGTTTAGTTTTGTTAATGTTATATAATACATTTTTACAGTAAAATCTAATTTTCACCATAGCTAACAGTATGTGTGATATTTTACATGTAACACATAAAATAAATGTTTTGTACAATAGATGCCATCCTGTGTGTAGGGTATACTTTCATGCTGCTTATTATTATCTGGAGGATCCACCATTTGTGTCACATACTGTACCAACATTACCAAACTCTGATTGGTGGAAACATAAAGAAGATTCTCATGTTGTGCCTGTAGATGGCTTTGCAAAACATGTAGCAAACTTGCATGTGGATGGAGACATTGCTTTTAGTAAAGAATATGAAATAATTCAAGAAGAGTCCATGAATTTTGATTTTTTAACTGAATCATCACAGCTACCAGAAAATAAATCAAAAAATCGATACCTCAATATAGTTCCTTGTAAGTTAATAATTATTATGTACCTATATTAATTATTAAAAAAAAAAAATTGTTGTAAAGCTAAGCATATTTGCAAGCAACAATTAATTTATTTACTGCTAACAAAAAGGTTTCTGAGCAAAGGTCAATTAAATCTGTATTGAAATGTATTAATTTTTAGAATTTCATTAAAATGTATACTTTGAACTCTTATAAAATATATTTCTCATATTTAAGTGGTAGGTATAGGCAATTTCCATATTTTGGAAAAGTGAAATTTAATCAACTTTCAAATAAATTTACAATTAGCAATGTAATAATACTGTATTTAATTTTAGTTAATATTATACACAGTATATTATGCTCTAATAGAATTTTTGTCAATTAAAATTCTGAATTATTATTATTTTTTTTTTTATATTCAATTTCACTGTGCATTTTATACTCGCATATTTTATTCAGTTACAATTTATTATAATGTTTATGTAAGTAACTAACTTATAAACAATATTAAATATGCATTAGGGCATTATGAAAAGTATAAGCTATAGTTTAATTCAAAACAAGTTTATGATAAATCAAAACAATTGAATTAACATACAAATTGTTATAAATTATTCATTGAACAATATAATATGAACATTTGTCATTGAATCTTTTAGTATGTTTTGTAATTAAATGTAGCCTGTAGGAATATCCAATTATAGAATGCTAAATTCTTAGGCATTAAAAGGTTCCGCAATCAAAGATAATAACTTGATATTATAATATTCAAAAATCTGTTCTTAAAAAAACAATTAATTCATCTATGTTCCATATAATATAGAATATGTTTTACTTTTTTACTGAAGCATTTAAACATAACACAAGTCAATACAAATAATTAACTTATCATTAAATAAGACTAATAGGTAATAATAATAATTCAATACTGCATAAAGTAGAGGTGTTTTGGGTACACTATTATATTCTGAGTGTAGCAATGAATGTATTGGTTTTACAAAGACGTTTATTTTTTTCTTAAATGAACACTTCTTACCAGAAAGCTTACTCCGATGTATACATTGTAGACACTTTTTTGAATGGAAATTTTGTTTTAGTGATACTTTTAGGAGGTCATTTTTTGATTTTCCTTACAGTTTTCACAATAAAAGGGAAAATGTACGAAATATAGTAAAATATTATGATTTTATTTTTCTGTGTACAACTTTTTTATCAATAATTTTGCGATTTACAATAATGGCACTTTTTCCAAAAGAAAATCTGACTGGAAAGGTGCTTTAGGGAGGTTATTTTTCAATTTTCCCAAGTTTTTCCAGCAAATGTGAAAAACATGGAAAAATTGATATAATATTAAAGAAAATATATAACGCCTATTTAATTATTTTACCATAATATGATATATAAGTTGTTGACTAAGCATCACTATCAACTAAACTCTACTCAGAATCGTTTTTAGTAAGCAATGGTTTATTGTTACTTAAAGATACAAATTCATTTCAAATCTATATCCTACCTTTTCAATTTCTCATCAACAATAGTGGCTGCATCTATTTTGTAAATTATATCTGTCTTTTTATAAACAAACTGGATATCAAATATTAGCCGAGTAATAAATTATATAATTACCTGGTATGTAGTATTGTTTGCCAAGTAATAATATCGAGAGTTACCACCAAAAATATACCTTTCCTCTTTTCGCTAAATGAAAAATTTAGTTTAATATTTGAGTATTAATGGATGATTGTATCATAAATTATTATTATTATATTATAAAAGTATAAATATATATATATATATATATATATATATATATTTTACTAGTGAGAATGCAGTTCGGTTGAAAAGTATTGACTAGGCCTTTGTATATTTTATAGTATTACTGTTAATACAGTAAACTGATATAGTGAGAAAAATTTGCAAGATAATCGATAGGGATGGGAAAGTACAATAATCAGTGATAAATGTATTATTATTAATTACGATAGTTATAAATATTTTACGACAGAAAAATAATATTAAAAATAAGTTTGAACTTACTACACTATACTATAATAAAAAAAGTGATTATATTTTGATACTTTTTGAGTAATTTCGTGGTATTTATAATCATATTTACATTGCATTCAATAAACGAAATTAATAAAATAATAAACAATATTTGTATCATACATGAATAGAAAAAAACATACCAATTTTTAATTTACATTGTATTTATTTGTCTAGTTAATATTTTCTAATTTATTCAATTGTCTATTAATATTCAAATATTCGAATAAATTTTTGATTTGGCGGAAACAGTCAAGCATTTAAAGTAAGATGATATATAAGAATAATGAAAATAATTAAATATCTACTAAGAACTAGTGGCCAAGTCACCTAACCACAAGCCAATAGATACTAAATAATCACTCAATAAAAAATTAAATATGTATAAATATTAAAAATCAAATCATATATGATGTACATATTATTATAATTAATTTACAATTTTCGCCACAGTGAGAAAATGCAATATAAAATCTTTTTTCATTTGATCAATTTTGAGCCCATATTTTTTTCTAACTTCATTAAAATTTGGAAACTGAGCTTTACACAGTGATCGGGTATTGAAGGAAAAAAAAATATATTATTACGCCAGGTACCAGGTATAGTTTAAGTAAACAATTAATATGGATGCTGGGTAGTCATGGGGAATGAGTAGTTATGGGGTACAAAATATGATTTCAGATACCCAGTTAGGATTCGATGACCAGGTACCTAGAACATCTTTAGCATATAGAGTAGTGACTATAGTAAGAGTAGTATATTTATTTATTTTTTATAATAGGCTTATAACATACTTGTATTGTACAATTTATATCTGTAGTATTATATCATTATTACAAGTATTTATCTATTTTTTTTATCATAAAATAAACAAAAATATGTATGACAAATTGTATCACATAAATAAACATAGTTAAGAAACCAAATTTGTATATAAAGCAAAGGTATATTGCATTGTGCAACATAGGTTTTAGTATTTCAATATCACTTATACCAAAAAAGTTATTTGAGTTTCCAAAACTTAAAACTATCAGACTTTTAAATAACTGAGTTTTTTGTTTGTAATATTGAAAAAATTAAACCATTGTATAGTGCACATTCTTTCTTTTTCTAGCTGAAAATTGTATTTCATAATTAAATCTATAATATGATCAGCCCTCTTGAGAGGCATACTCTCATAAACAGTCTAAGGTCATCAGCAAGTATAACCTTAGTACTACAATTAATTATATTATCTTAGTGAGCTCATGGAAAAAATATAAGGAAAGCCTTAGGTCACCAGTTGACCCTTGAGTGGTTTTCAAAAGTTGGGTACATTTAATTAAATATGAGTCATGATTATAAAAGCTTGCTATCACAAGCTCTGTTCAATTTAAAAATTAAAAATGGCATGATTTACAGCAGAGGTTATCTAACTTTTTTTTCTACATACCATCAATATGTGATATGGATCTGTCACATATCATTTAGATATGACTGAAAATTGAACTGTTCATAATATCTATAAACTAATTTCATAAGGATAGGAGCATAAGACAGTAAAATACTAAAATTATAATTATTAACATTATAAGAAATAAAAAAAAACTGGGTACAGGTACAGCTAATGTTGTAGGTAGGTAGGTAGGTAGTTAGGAAGGTGGTATACATTAAGTTACTAAATGTAACCAATAATAAACTATTGTTAATGAAAAATAAAGTTTGGTTACATATTTATTTTTTTTAACCACTGAGTGGGACTTATAATGAACCCTCTGTTAAATTTTCAAGCATTTCTGTTAAGTCTAACAATTTTTTCCACAGTGTACCTATCAAATAAAAATTACTTAAAAACTAGCAATATTAAAATGTCTATTAATAACTCAAATGATTCGAAAGTTTTAGGCCTAAAAAATGCAAGTATAAATTTTCTGTAAAAATTTCAGGTCACTACAATTATTTTTCACTGAATTTCATTAAAAAAAAACAAAATTAAAAATAATAAAAGAATTATTTTCCTACATTTTTTTGTTATTTTTTGAGTTGTAAAAATTAAAGACAATGAAATTAGTAACACCACAGTGCACTGCAAATATTTTCCGGTTTACCTATAATTTTACTTCAGGTTTTTCTTAGTTATTTCGTAAACTCCTTAGAAATTCAAAAAATGACCTCTCCAATGCACCAATTAGATAAAATTATCTTTCAGAGGCGTGTCACTTGATACTTGGGAAAAAGTTGTATGGTTTAAAAGTAGCTTACAGACACAAAAAATAAAAAAATAAAACACATCAGCCAATAAATCTTTTGCTATGCTTTGAATCTAAAATTTAAATAGTATTTGAACAGTTGAAAACACTTGTACCCATACATAAGTTAATTTTCCAAACTGCTACTACTTGGCTTTTTATGTACCACCATGTTGCTTACTGCTACCACCTGTTGAGAACTGCTAGTTTACACTATCAAAGGATTTTTTTTATTTTGGTTGGATAGTGTTTACTTGGTCTTCAACTGAAATATTGTTAATTAAAGAGGTAAAGAGCAATATATTAATAAATCTGTATTACAAAATTATTGGTAAGTTCTTGATGTTGTGTTATAATATATCCTAAGAGTATTTACAAAAATGTTTTCTGAAAATAATTTTGTTACTTGATTTATTTTATTAAATTAAGTTGAATATTTACAGATGATCACAGCAGAGTTAAACTTCATTTAAATAACATGCCTGGTAGTCATTCTGACTATATAAATGCTAACTATATTGATGGTTTTGAAAAATCGAATGCATATATAGGCACACAAGGACCATTACCAACAACAATTCTTGATTTTTGGCAAATGATTTGGGAACAACATGTTCATGTTATAGTAATGATTACAAATTTAGTTGAACGTGGTCGGGTAATTATATTTTATAGACTTTATTTCCTATTTTGTAAAAATGTATCAGATTTATTTTTATTGTGTAATTTAATTAAACAGCTGTCAATCAAATCTTGAAATAAGTTTATTTTCACAGGCAATTTATTGTATTTGTTATGGGTGCATATGTTATTTAGTCTGATGTTGATAATTGTGATGAAAGAACACCTTTCTAATGGCCAAAAAAAAAAAAATATTTTTTACCTTTATACCATTATTATTATTTTTTTTTTTTATCTAAATTGTGATATAAATATTTAAGTGAAAAATTTATATTAATTGAAAAAAAAAATACTATTACTTCTCGGCAAATATAGATAATATTACTATAAAGATTAACATAATATTTTTGTTCTATAGAGAAAATGTGATTTATATTGGCCAAATGAAGGTACTGAAATATATGGTTTCATACAAGTTACATTATTAAAAGAAGAACTTATGGCCATGTATACAGTTCGTACATTTCAAGTGCACCATATACGAGTAATATTAATATATTCTATTTTATTACTAAATATGTCTGAAAATATCTATTTGCAGGCTAAAAAGAAAAAAAATACACCAGTAGGTAGAACCATATATCAATACCATTATACAAATTGGCCTGATCATGGTACACCTGATCATCCTTTGCCAATTCTAAGTTTTGTAAATAAATCAGCTGGAGCTAATCCCCCTGATGCTGGTCCTATTGTTGTTCATTGCAGGTTTGTTATAAATTGTTATTTGTTTATTTTTTTTTTTAAATTAAAAATACTGTTTTTTTTTTCAGTGCTGGTGTTGGTAGAACTGGTACTTATATAGTATTAGACACTATGCTAAAGCAAATTAGAAGTGAAAAAGAAGTAAATATTTTTGATTTCTTAAAACACATCAGACAACAAAGAAATTTTTTAGTTCAAACTGAAGAACAATATATATTTATCCATGACGCTTTACTGGAAGCCATTAACTGCATGTATTCTAGTATAAATAAAAAAACCTTAACTAGTTACCTTCAAACAGATATTTCAGATTGTAAAATAGCATCTTTTGCGTCAGATTTTGAAAAACATTATAAGGTACAAATAATAAATAAAAACTCGGGAGTCTTAAAAATTATTTTTATACATATAATCTACATTTTTGCAGATGATAACATCATTTGTTCCACAAGACTATTTATTACTTTCAGCTAATAAACCTTTTAATAAGATTAAAAATAGATCTCAAGAATTTGTTCCAGTAGAGAATTCTCGAGTACATTTGACACCTAAACCTGGAGTTGAAGGCAGTGATTATATAAATGCATCATGGATTATTGGTAAATAATAAATATTTATATTTCTCAAAAGTGCATAATTACATGTTAAATACTATACCCTGTTTCAAAGGAGAACATACCACTTTCATTTCTTAACATATCCATGATTACCACCAGTGTTACCTGGTAAGGATGTGTGTTACTGAATGAAAACTGGCCAAGAAAGCTGTATGTTCTTTTTTTAAACTGGGTATAAACCACTACAGTGTTGAAACTGCAATTTGAATTTTTTTTTTAAAAGATTTATTTCTTTTTTTTTTTTTTTTTATGTAAATAATTTTTCTACTAGAAAGCTAACTTTGGTGTATACAACTTTTTTGAAAGAAAATTTTCTTGGGGTGGTTCTTTAAGGAAGTCATCTTTTGATTTTCCCAGCAGTTTTCTTAATAAAAGGGAAAATGTATGAAATATATTAGTAAAATATTATGATTTTTTATCGTGTACAATTATTCTATCAGCAATTTTACTCTGATTTACAATAATAGCACTTTTTCCAAAAGGAATTCTGATTGGGAAGATACTTTATGGGAGTCATATTTCGATTTTCCCGAGTTTTCCTAGAAAATATGAAAAACCAGAAAAAACATAGGATAATCGGTACAATATTAAAGAAAATATATAATGCCTATTTAACTATTTTACCTTAATATGGTATATAAATTGTTGACAAAAAATCACTATCAACTGAAGTAAAAAATAAATATTTATCTGATATTTACTGATAAACACAATGGACACCACTTAATGTTGGCATATTGGGACCACCTCTGTTTGCCTACACTAAGTGGCTATTCAAAAAAACTGAAATTAATTTAAAAACACAACAACTTGTAATATTAAACAAGTTTTTATTTTGCACACCATACAATTAAAAAAGAATGTTAAATTATTGCATAAATAATACTAAATAAAATTACTATTTGGATGTGGAAGGTGTACAATTGCAATTGCTTGTTGCCTAAGCTGTTTAGAGTGGATCTGGTTAACAAAATGAGCACTCACTACAAGCTTATCAGACAGACTATTTTCATTACCCTTTTGCATGAAGTCCCACGCAAAAGGGTAACGGAAATATATTTAGTCAACAAAATCCTATTAAGGTTTAAATAATAATGCTTTTTATTGTAATAATTTTTGATAAACACAATCTCAGATACCTGATTATGTTAGTTATTTTTAAATAATATGTATATTATAGCGTTATGATAAAATAAAAATTACCCACATAAATGGAATCAAATGCCCACATTATGTGGTTTTTTAACCTTGTTAATATACATTTGTTTGAGACCAAACCATTTTGCCCATATAAACTAGTGCAACATAATGAACCTCCTGTTAAATTTTCAAGCATTTTTGTTTAGTCTAACAATTTATCAGTACCTTCTGAACAAATATTAATAAAAATTTATTAAAGTAATAATTAATTGAAATGTCTATGAATAGCTCAAAATTAGCTTAAATGTTGGACAATTTTACGGTGTCTAAAAAAGACAAATATAATTATTGTTCAAATTTCAAGTCTATAAATATTTTGAACTGAATCAGTGTAAAATAAAATTTAAAATAATGCATTTCGTACATTTTCTTATTTTTCCTTTGTTTTCCCAGATTATTATGAAAATCACTTGAAAAATAAAAACGGCCTTCCTAAAATACCACCCAGATAAAATTTCCATTCAGAAAAAGTATTACACTTGTTATATCAGAGCTAGATTTCTGGTAAAAAGGTTGTTTACAGTTTAAAAAAAAAATAATAATAAACATTATAGAACCAATACATTTTTCCCTTTGCTTAGAATCTAAAATGTCGAATTAATTTAAATTCATTTTTTCGCTAATTTTGAACTTACAAAATTTTACCATTAAAATAATGAAAAAAAAAAAACAAGAGTTCTAATTAAACAAATACTAAAATTTAAAAAATATGGAGTGTGAAATGTGTATTATATAAACAAAATACAAATTACATGGTGCTGTCTGAGGGCATTGAGTGCTTTTAATTAGTGTTTTCACACTGTCAAGAAATCCAGAAAAATTAATGAGACAAAAATCTATACTCATATAAACATCTAAAATATATAAATAGTTAAAATTGTATAAAATATAAAAATATAATCAAAGCCTTAAAAATTAATAATTTGAGTGACATAAATCTTGATAAAGTCTTGAATAAGGCAAATGTTTTTTAAGATTTTTATTCTTTCTAACATATACACAACCAAAAGTAGACCTAACTTTTTTCTATGTTCTTTAAAATTCTGAGTGGAGTGAAGAATGTATTGGTTTTTTGGTTTTACAATAATGTTTATTTTTTGTTTTTCCTGTGAACAACTTTTTTACCAGCAATTTTGTTCCCATTTACAATGATAGCACTTTTTTTGAAAGAAAATCTGACTGGGGTGGTATTTTAGGAAGGTCATTTTTTGATTTTTCTTAGAATTTTTTCAATAAATCAGGATAAACTTAGGGAATAGGGGAAAATAGGTACAATTTTAATCAAATATTATTAAAGAAAATATACAATGAATTTTTAATTATTTTACTATAATTACATATATATTGTTGACAAAGCGATACTTTCAAACACATTTTGGTCAGAATTATTGTGTTCAGATTTATATTAAATTCCTATTTATATCCTACCTTCCCAATTTCTCATTTACAATAGTGGCTGCATCCATTCCTATTATCCTAGGACAGTATTTTTAAATTATAATTGTTATTATTATTGTTCATTATAATTATTTAATTTAAATATATAATAATACTATTCATAATTTTTAATTTAAGCCTATAAACCATGCCATATCAAAAGATTACTTTGATATTTATTAAATTTCAGAATTATTTATCTTTTTATTTTTACAGGATTTCAGAGGTTAGGTGAATTTATAGTTACTCAGCATCCTCTTGAAAATACTGTTTTAGATTTTTGGCAGATGCTTTGGGATCACAATGCACAAACAGTAGTTATATTAACTGACATGAGTGAAGATGTGGTTGGTTTTATGTCTTACAAATTAAAACTTGTGTAAACGTGTTTTTTTTTATTTATTGTAGGATTCAGTTGTTTCATTTTGGCCTGCTGATTCTAGTGTAACATTAGATAGCGATAATTTCAAAGTTAAAAGTGTTCAAGAAGATAAAATAGGAGATGATTATGAAACTAGAGATCTTGTAATTCAATCTGTTCAAGATGATTTTATGCTACCAGTTAGATTAATACATAGTAAATATTCAGTCAGAGAATTATCTTCATTAATCAAATTATTAGAGATTGTACAAATGTGGCATTTAGAGTACCAAAATGGTCCTATTGTTGTAGTAGATAAGTAAGTATTTAATTGATTTATCTGTATATATATAAAAAAAAAAAAATTGTAATTTTAATATGTTTTACAATTACTATTTATTATATAATCAATAAATTTAATTAATGGCATGTGAAAATTAATTTTTCTCTGGTTTGTGTCTAATTATGTTATTATTTTCTATATAAATCAGGAGTACCTTAAAATATTACTTATAATTATAAGTGTTTATTATTTTATTTATTTTATAACTAAAGGTAGTATTGTTTATTACGTATTTACTGTGGGACAAGCATACGTTTTTATTATATTAATTATAATTATTACATAATTATGTACTGTCCATTGTTGTTTGTCTCAGAGACAATATTTATGTGTAATTTCATTCCGATTTTTACTGTTATCAATAAAGGACTAATTAATAAAGTAGAGTTATCATTCATATTAATAATACTTAACAAGTGTCAATAAAGTTTTTTTGTAAGATTATTACATACATTTTAGCATATTTCTTTTTTAGTTTTTATTAAAAATAAAAACATTGATATGTAGTATGGATTTAAATGAAATTATTTTATAAATGTATTAAACAACTAAAACAATATTACTGCATTACAGATACGGTGGTACTGAAGCAGCCATATTTTGCTGTTTAACAACTATTAATAAACAATTGCAACATGAAAATTTAGCAGATATTACATTATATGCTAAACTTTATCATAATCAAAGACCAGGAATTTGGAAGGATATTGTATGTCAAATTAAATTAGAGTCATGAACAATGTATTATTATTTTATTTTATTTTTAACAGGAAAATTATTTATTATTATATCGTGCTTTGGAACTCATGTCAGGAGGAAGCTGTTTTAATGTATTACCTTCAAGTTCAATTACCAGTATAAATAATATGGCAAATGGTAGTCATAATTCAATTACTTTACCAAATGGAAATGCTCTCTCACAAAATAAACAAAATGGAGTATTAATTTCACAATCATAATTTTTAAATAGTATGTAGTTTAAAATTAATTGTGAAGTAGTTAGATTAATAACCCAATGGTCCTGTAGTACCTAACCATATATATATTTGTGTTATCTAAGAATTTTGTCTTAAAACTATAAGATAAATTCAAATCTTTCTATTTTACTTAACTTAATCAAATCTCCAAAGTTGAAAATAAAAAAATTTAGCAGTAAATAAAATAAAGGTTTTTATGGGAATAATAATTTTTTTTTGGAAATTAACATAAAATCTATTTTTTTGTCATTATCAGGTATTCTGATAAAAATGTTGAAAATAGCATAAATATTTTTTTCTGTATCTGAAGGAAATTTTACAACTTGATATTTATATAATTTGATTTGTCTTCATATTTACATAATATAAAAGTTGTTTTAGTTAGTATAAAATATTTAAGAAATTTTTGTTGGTTTCTGTTCTGAGAAAAATTTTGCTCAAAACTCTTAAAATTTCTATAGTTAAATTGACTAGTTGGTAACTACAAACATCAACTTACTTTGTATCTATAATTGAGATTTAAATTGCTTAAAGTTGACTAAAAACTTTAAAATTTATTAAAATTACTTAATTTATGATCATACTTAAGTGTTTTCAGCATTTAACATTTAATTGAAACAAACATTTGTAGATTTTCTGTCAGATATCAAATCATTTAAATATCATTATTAACATTTTAATCACATTTTAATTTCTTAGTATGTAGGAATAGTTTGTTAAATTTGAAGTAAGTAGTATCTCCTCTGATTTATAATAATATATTTATTATTTTAAATATTGTATATTCAATTATAAATTGTATACAATATGTATTCATATTATAAATAAATAAATATGTTACACTGCGAAATCCTTTAATATGACCATTGATTAGTAGAAAAATGTATAGTTTATTATCATCACTTTCATAAAATCAAATTCTATTTAAACAATGAACAAATTTTTAAATAATTATTATCAGTATACTTTGTAGTTTGAAATAATTTTAATTATATTAAGTGATACTCACTATGTATAGGATGAGTACATTTTTAGTTAATATTACAAATAATAATAATTATATATTATTCATTTAATAGTTACATGAGCAAACTAGTTTTACTGTTACAAACTATGTAATAAAACATTATGTCAGCTTTTTGTGATATTTGAGTAAATTTAACAAACTCTTAAGAATTAAGGTTAGATTAATATTATATTTATGCATTTTCAACTTTTTATTGGACTATTGAGATTAATAGCCTATATAAATCTAATTTTATAGAATTTTAAAACTACCTCACAAAAACCCATTTTAATACACAATATATATTTTATTTTTATTATTTTAAATATAAATAAAAATCATAAAGTGCAACAAATAAATGTCTTAAATTCAAAAGTAAATCGCACTTAAAGTTATTAAATTTAAATACAAATTTATTTGATTTTTCATTATCATTAGTTTTTATTTTATTTCCCTCCAAAATAAACTATTCAGTGCACTAGGATTGTAATATTGCTTTACATATAAGTTAGAAAAACATAAAAATAATTTCCATAATATTTTTTATAATACCTGACAAACTATAGAACATTTTTATAATAACTGTGACAACTTGTATAAATACTACTTTACTATTTTAATTTGCCCTTATAATTGTATTATTAAAATTATTGCCTTAAGTCTAAATTATTAATAGGATACACTAAATTTAATTCAAATTTTAAATGTGATATTTAAAAAAAAATAATAATAATTTTTCCTACAACCCCAACAAAAATGTTTACATAGTATTTTTTCTTTACGTTTTTAATTTTGAAACTACATACATTTTAATTTATCCTCTATTTTATATCTTATTGCTTTTTTTTCTTGGAAATATTTCATAATAAACATTATTTTAAATTAAACATATCTTATTCTTCCTGTCAAAAAAATAATTAAGAATACAAATATTTAAAATATGTTTCCCTATTATACAAATTTGGTATGATTTACATATTTTAAATAATATCCATACATTCAAAACAAAACTTTACCTCATTTTGTACAAAATATTTTATTAGGGTATTATTATTTACTTGTTTAGTAATAATAATTATTTAGAATGCATGATAATTTTGCTACTTGTATCTGTGATTCATAACTTAATAATTTTTAAATATTTTTGTTTTTCTATTTTTTAATTCACATAATATGGTTTAAGTTACTTTTATACATTTTTCTACTCATTAAGTGTAACACACTTTACTTCAATTCCCTTATGTTCTGTATTTTAGAAGTCTGCCATAAATTTACAACTATGTTTAGTAGTACTCAAGTCTGGGCATTCAATTAAATTAGTTAAATAAATAAAGTTCACTTTAAATTATACTAGTAAGTTAATTTATAAAGTGTAATAAACTATCTGTGCTTGTGGATTCCAATTTCTAGCTGTGTTCAAGTTAATGTGTTTCTGTGACAGTTAATCCATTATTTTTATTCCCTAGTGTTCTTTATAAAAATAATTCTTTCTTGTCCCCCTTAACCAAATAAACTAATTATAATTGTTTCTTTTTTCATATAAAAAAAATATGTATATCATTTGAAAACCATTAACCCTCCTCAACTACTTTACTAGCTACCCCTGGTCTATCCCACAGTTGGTCCTTCCCCTCTTTCGAGTAAAAAAAATTATCTTATTACTCTCTAATAAATGATTAAAAGGCATTGAGCAAAAAAGTTTTATGAAAATAGATAAAGTAGTTCTCCAAATTTTTACGAACATGCAAACAAATAGTGCAGGTAGGAGTTGGAAGTTAAACCTTCTGCAATAATATTATTCATGAATACAAATTAGAACTCTGTTTTTATTTTAAAGGTAACTAAAACCCAATTCAAAACTTGAAATCTAAACATAATCTAACATGGGAGGGGGTTTAATCTCTAAAATTGATATCCTTAATACCTAAATCATTCATACACAAAATTTTATCCCGGGGGGGGTTATATTTAGAGGTTAGTTTATTATTAAGCCCTTTTAATTCAGAGAGAGTCATTTAAAGTATTAATAATTTTAAAATATATAAACTAAATAATACAAAATTAACTTAACTTTAGTTAATAAATAAAACAGTTAACTTTACTATGTTAAGAAGTTATTTACTAACTTGCCCAGCCTTGAAAATACTATATTTTTTTTTGTTATGTTCAATATATACCTATATTAATTTATAAAGCTATTTGCTGCTAAACTATTGTGGCTCAATTTAAATTGTAGTTAACCTACAATTTTAAAGTTTCATCAATTATAATTATCTTTTAACTTGAAGTTTATAAATTATATCTTAAAATCTGATAAATAAAATGATTTACAATACAGAAATATTTAATGAATTTAATTATGAATGATATGGTAGCTGTACATCATTTGGTATACCTATACATTCCTATTTAACATCATGACTAGGTGGATACAGATAAGATAACAAGAACTGTGATTTTGAAAATTTATAAAAAGCATATATTTATGATAGTCTCCATCCCTCTCTTCCAAATTCTCCACTATATTTTGATATACTTGAAAAGTGCTCCCTAATAACATTTATTATTATACAAAACATAAATAAAAAAATTATAAACCAAACTTGATTTTAAATTGAACTCAATTGTTAACACATTCTTCCTAATAAACTATACATTATTTTTTGATTTAAATAATTATTTTTAATTTTTCCAAGTATTATTATAATTATTATTATAAGTTGTACTCGGTTGGTTTAATTTTTTAATTACAAAAGTAAATTATTATACCTCTTAACTCTTTATTATACTCAATATATAATATTATTTTATTACTAACATACTCTTCCACTAATTATTGTTTATTTTAAAATTCACTAGATCTTTATTAACTTAGATTTTTTTTGTATTTAGGTTATATATAATAAATTTCAATAATAAAATTTGTCCCAAAAATAATTACTAATTAAAGTTAAAATTAATTAATTAATTAATTGAAATTAAAAATTCAATGTATACATTTAACTTATTTTATAATTGTTACCAATTGAAAATTCAACTTAAATAAATATTATATGATTATTTAAAAATGATATTGTAAAGCCATGATTACTTTATTATTTAGATCTTATATAATATATTAAAATACTTATTTGATTTTAATATTTCAATTTTTTAATTGGGTGTATTTTTAGTACTTAAGAATAAAACAATGAAATAATTTATTAGATTTGAATTTACATTTTTTATAATTTTATTTTAATATTTAGTATTCTTAAGCATTAAATGAATCAATGCTTTAATAATAATTCAATATTTAGGAGTATCTTAAAATAATTATTTATTGTAGGACTAAATTTTGATCATTATTTACTAAAAAATTGTTTAGCTATATATATATGCATAATATATGATTGTCACATACATTGCTTAGTTAATATTGTTTTAAATTAATAGGTAACAGTTATACAAATAGTTTTTTAAGATTAGTTTATTTTAATTATTTTATTGTTGAACTAACCAAATGACATTAAGAAAATGATTGAGCCAAAACATTGAAACCATTAAAAACTATAATACTCTTTTTACCTTTCTTTTAATATTTATTAAAATAAAATAATATTTTTTTGTATATAATAGTAGGTACCAAGAAGTAAAAACAAGTTTAAAACTAGGTAATACCATTTTGGGAACCAAAACACCCAAAATTTCTGGTCAGGTTTTATACCCTAATAAATATTCACTATTTACTAAACATTAAATTGATCAAATGCTCTAAACATTTACTTTTTTTTTTACTTTATCATTTTTGCACTATAAAATAAATATTTTTGTATTAATATATTTAATAGTTTCATAGTTTTGTCAATGTTTTAAAAAAAAATTTTACTTTTGCTTCTCAAAATTTTAATACAATCAAACTTCATATGACTCAGTAAAAAATGATTAATGTCTAGACAAATATCAAAAGTAAAAACTAGATCTCTAGTAAACTAAATTGAGAATTAAAATCTATAATATAAATATATTTTCCAAAAATGTTTGATTTAGTTATACCATTGTTTATAAAATAACTATATTTTAATTTAAAAATTATATATATATATATACTCACCTAACTTATAAATGTCTACTTTACTTTAGTATTAGGTATATTATCCAATCACAAATCAGTAGCATATGGAATTCATCATTTTTATCATTAATTTAGTAATGTGTTAGTTATAATATCTATTGATTTCATTTTTGTACTACTTTATTAATTAATTAATTAAATTAATTAAATTCTCATATTAAAACACGAGTCCAACAATTATTATTTTTTAAATAAAAGTTATATTTATATCTAGAGTGCCCTAGAATTTAAAAAAATATACACAAATGTGTTATGATGAATGTAAAATTGATAACCACCTTATATACTAAATTGTATTCATTGATAATGGCATTAAAAAAGATAATGTATAATTTTATATTATGCATTTATAATTTTTACATTAAGTTACTATTTTATAATTTCGATTCCAGTTTTTTTTTTTTTTGAACCACAAGGTTCCTATAGTAAACAAAATATATTTATAAGAGGAGTGCCATAGTTTTCAAACAATCCTAGTGATGTACTAAAACATAAAATAAATAAATTCATTTTTATTAGTCACAAAAAAAAATATATAATAAAATAAAATCAATTAACTTATTTTATTGATTAATGCACAATAAATATTAGTTTGTTTTATACTGTATTTTACTCAAGCTAAATACTACTAAACTTATATAACCATTTAGCATTGCATTAACATTGTACATTAAAAATAAAATATATAATGTATGTTAGTTTAATACTAGTCTACTAGTCAATAAAAAATAAAATAAAAATAATTAAAAAGGTATAATTTATTGACTATAAATAGATATTGTTTAAGGCTGTTTTATAATAATAATGTATTAAAATATATAACTTTAGATGAAGCATTTTAATTTAATATTCTTAAAACAATTCATAGTTCTAACTTACTTTGTGCTTATAATGCACACATAGAATTGAGCTAATACATTTTCTTAATTTGAGATTGAAGACTGGTGATTTGTTCAAAGTTGGATATTATGTGCTAAATTGTTTTTATTCAGGTATTTCGAACATTTTGTGTTTTATTTTCTTAATACAAAATTGATTTAGGTGATTATGCCTAAGAAATATTATTTAAATGATCTAAAATAAATAAATTAAAGAAATAGAGATTACCCAATGACTGTCATTTGTTATACATTTTAGTCTATTATTTTAATAATTTGATCTTAAAATAGAATACGATAAAGAATTTTTAATATTATACATTTTTTTTAAATTTTTTATTTTATGTAATTTATTTCTTTTTACAATGTATTAGTGTATGGAACAAATGGTTATTGTATACACATTTTTGTCATTATATGTTAAATATTTTTTCAGTTTGTCCAGAAAGTTTGGAAATCTTCCATATTATGTTTAACCTTTAATGTTCAAACTTTCTATCCATGCTGTTCATGTTAAAGTTTTTTTTTAGAATTTAATTTCTCTATTTATAATCGGTCTCTAATGGTCTACATTTACTGTATAAATTTACCATTATTTTTAATTTCTAAGTACTAGTCTTTTATGTGTATATATATATATATATATATATATTATATATGTATGTATGGCCAACGTATTTTCCTATTTAGCCCGTGGGGGGGGGTCTGTTTTTGAAAGCCCTTGATCCTGTAACAAAAAAAATGTATACTCTTAGGTTTGGCAATTATAATTTTTTTTTTTTCTATTGGCGCTTTAAATTGTAATGTCACCAAATGACAGGTGTATACAGCTACGTATTTTTATTTATAGTTACCATAGTTCACTTTTTCAAACACAAATATAATATTTATTTTTTAATTGTTCAAGGTATACCTAACATTTAATATAATACTCAAACAATCTCAAATGTTGATTTTGCTCAACCAAATTTTGTATTTTTTTATAATATTTTCTATGTCTAAAACTTACATCACTGGTCAGTGAATTGTGCCAAAATGTAATAATATTGTACCCACGGTAGCATTGACTGTTTTTTTTTTCTAATGAATTTTATATTTATAATTCAAAGTCTGATTAAATAACATTATAATAGGTGTTAGGTATATGTTAACACTGCTGTTTGAATAACATAATATTTGGTCATTTTTCTAACCTCTAATAGGAACAAAATAATATGATTATATTCTTATATTATTTTTGGTTTTTTGTAAACTTGTCTAATTCAAACATTTTGGAAATAATTAGGACTCCGGTACCTACATGATTTTTTAAACATATTTATATCATATTCGTTCTTATATTGTCTATTAAATATTACCTGTAAAACAACATTGTTTATATATTAATTTATTAATATTGTACACATGTCATATTGTTATGGTATGGTTTTTAATGCATCTTATATCTTGTGTACAAAGCCTTTAAACTGTCAAAGGTACAGACATTTCTGAGATGTATAAGTTGACTAATCTTGATTTTTAAATATATATATATAGGTTTTATATCAATTTGACATTGTAACATTTTACTAAAATTGTTTGGATTCCCTGGTCATTATACTATAATAATCGAAAAAAAATGTAATTTGGTTTGTAAAGGAATCTAGTCACAATTTAAAATTGTTTTTAATTTGTCTATGGATTTTGTTGTTGAAAGGAGTTATCTACTTTAAGTTTATCAAAGATATATAATAATAAAATTCCTTTGCTTTTCTAAATTTACTATAATAGGTTTAAATAAAATATTATGATTGTATGTAGGTTTAGAAATTAGGTTTTGTACGTTTAAATATTATACGTGTTGACTGTATACACCGAATCGCGTTACCTTATTATTATGTCCAACACTTGCACTTAAGTGAATTTTTATGTTGTAACTAAAAACGATCTTTTTTTATTTTTATGGCCATAACAAAATCGATTTGTTACATTTTCCACATTATAATATTCACCGGATTTAGATTAATTATGATAAATATAAGTACGCATACCCGCACAGATTATATAACCTAACAAACACACACTCGTTTAATAGTTTTTTTTTTTTCTAATAGAATAACGGCATCAAAATACGAGATGTGAAATATGTTACGTTTTGATTCAATGCTATTAAAAAAAAAAAAACACCCCTATTAACCGATATTGATTTTATTTTTATAATTCAAATATAAACACTATTGTAATATTATGTACCTATACTATTTTCACACCCGCATATTGTATCCGAACACAGTAAAATAGTATTATTGTTATTATTACCGTGTACCCACTTATATTATATACTTTTAAACTGTAACAAATCACTACTCTAGATAATGAAAAATATTTATGTCTTAAATATTATGTAGTAGACTAGTTGTTTAAGATAATATTATATAATAAATTAAATTTAAAACGTATGTAATAATTTTTAATCGGTACCTAGGTATTCATTTGTGTACGATAAATCGCTATAAGTTACATTGTAATTATAACGACATTATGCCCATTATATGTATAAACATAATATAATATATAATGTATATATATATACATTCATGCAATAACAAATGGAAATATACATTTTATATTTGTACGCCTCTATTTATTTTCCGTTTTACTTTTTAGTTTTACGTTTTACTCATTCATTTTCGTTTGATACCTATATACGTTCTTGTGTTGAAAAAGACTGATATCACTGATGGGTATTCCACTGTTTTAGGAGGAAAGTCGAAAGGGGGAATATAATATAAAGATAAAAGCTGAACAAGGGTAAGTGATTTGTTTCAAGAGTACAGTCACAATCATTATTAGCTTGAACGTGTTGACTTGATGAAAACATAAACGGATTCTTAGATTAAGGTGATTGCGGTAACATTTCAGGAGGAATGACTAGGGTTTGTTGTTTTTAAGGAACGTGGACAAAAGCCCACGTTTTTTCACGAGTACTTTTGGTACACCATCGATGTACCGTATCTGCAACCCGAAACCCGACTTCTCCATCTAGAGTCCTACGATCGAGCCCCAAGTGACTGGATCGAAGTAAACTATGGTTGAAAGTAGTTTTATTTCTTACAATACGTAAATCGCTGGGACAAGAAGCGCAATCCAGTCTCGCCCCTCGTTGAACTCTGAAATGAGTTTAGCTGCATACTGTTTAAAGGAAAATATGATTTTCAAAGGCCTAGTTTTATCAGGTTAGGGTTTACCCAAACGGTTAAGTTTTCAATCACTTACAAAGGCATTACTTTTCAATGGGCTAATAGTTTGAAGAGCCTCTCTATCATCATTAATGCGCTAAGAAGATGGAGCTAAAGATTCAGACAGTCTATAGACTAGGAAATTAGCTGCACACTTTTCTCTCTCAAGTCTCTTGCAACACTCAAGAGGCAGCTGAAGAAGGAAGTAATAGAGACCCAGAGGATTCAAGAGACGTTACTTTATTTTTGAGCAAATCTACCTCTTCATGCAACTTAGTATTTTTGGCTTTGAGGTCAACCACTAATGTAGAGAGAAGTTTGAGATCGTTTTTCAAATCTTTAAATAGAGATTGTTGAGTAGAACACTGAGATTTCATAGAGTCCGAAAATTCAACCCGAAAGGATAGGAGAGTTGCCATAAGATTTTCAATCATAGGGGTGTTATTATTTTTGTTGATTTTGGTGGTATTACGAGTAGTACGAGGTTTAGTAGAGGAGGGTATAGCGCCAACTTTAAAGTTTGATGGAGAAGACATATTATGTCTGGATAACAAAGAATATCGATTGGCGGATGAATTTGTACATTTTTAAAGAAAATATATAATCCATATGTAATTATTTTACAACAATATGACATGTTATATATTGTTGAAAAAGTAACACGAAACTCCGTTCATCAGAATTGTTTTTATCATTAGCAATGATTAATTTTTGTGCATTAAATTGCTCCTCTATCTTCTTGATTTCTCACCTACAACAGTATCTCATCAATTGTGCAAAATATGCCCATATCTTTTTTTTTTACTCTTCTACAGTTTCGCCGCTGTTTAAAATATAAAATTGATTTAATCAATAATAATTGAAGACTTATTAAAGAAATCAGTGTATGTTACAAAGAAAAAAGAAAATTCAAGAAAGGGTAAAACTGACTAAAGTTCATTATATGTTCGGTATATGTACATTAGTGTTTATTAGAATAGATGAAAGAACTACAGAATTCAGATATTTTTAATTCCGTACCCCACCCCAATTTGTTCATTATCGTGAAAATTGAATTTGTGTTTAATTTGGTCATAATGAATCATCTCTTCTTTCTGTCATTTTCACCGAATACTTATACGTAGTGTGATCAAACATCCCGGGAACTTTTTGATCCTTTTTGATTGAGTAAAAGCTCTTTCTAGACATGGAGACTTCAAAATTATAGTTATTATACAAGCAAGTGTAAGAATATTCAATAAAATGATATATTTTGACATAAACAAAATAATTGAACAAAAAATATGTAAATAAGAAAAAAGACAAGCATGTTAAATATTTTATCAATAAACAAGCTTAGTATTGTATATTCATGTTTCTTTGGTATTATGTAAAAAAAAAAAAAAGAAACAACAATGTGAATGTCTTATTTTGTTTAGTCATGTTTTTAGATAAATGTAACTATCAATATTTGTTTCATTTCATGTTAAAAATACTAATATTTCTATTTAAATATAATTATATATTTGATATATTTTTGTTATAAATATATATAATAATAATATATTGATAGATTGTATATATTAATCAAATTTGAAAAAAATATAAAAAACTATATTTTAAAAATAGCTCAATAAAATTGATATATTGTATAACAAAAATAAAACAATTTTATTTGGTTTACATAATAATAACAATACAATTAGCTAGTAAAATGTTAATAAGTAGTTACAATTTTATGATATTATTATAATATTACTTATCTTGATGTAAATAGATATACATATATACCTACCTCTAATTTAGATTCTATAACTAAGTCAAACAATTTAATTTAATTTACTATTCGTTATATAACAATATATTTTACTAATTATAATATATTGATGGATGCAGATAATAATAATATATTTTTCTTAAAATGCATTATCTACCTACCTAATTAAATATTATATAAATGATTAATATCTTTTATTTTATATAAATCTTTCAATTGAGTTAAAAGTGTTAAATTTGAAGTGCCTATATACTAAATAATATGTACATATTAAAATTTTAAATGATGAATTGTAAATTGAAAGGAAAAATTAAACATAAAAATAATGATATATCTAACTATTAAGGTACCCATTTTACAGAATTGTTTTATAAAATAATTAATGTAAATCTATATATATTTTTTTGTTTAGATGATATATTATTTCAAACTGCATAGTAAAAATTGTATCATAAAATGTCATTTAATTATTGAATATTCAATTAAATTAATATTATAAAAATATACTCTAGCTAAACATAATATATAATATATACCTATATATAATAAAAAATGACAACAACTGTATAATATTTACCTAATATTTACATTGATTATTCTAATAAGACAATAAATCACAAGTTAATGTCTTTTTACAATGATTATAAATATTTTTCTAAGTACACAAAATTAACCACTAACAATATGATTGCCTTACTCTTTTGGTTTTACCAAAATTATAAAAACTATTTTAAATATTCATTACCTATTAACATTTAATTGTTTAATTTTAAGACCCGAATGTCAAAACAATTTATTTTACTAGGTAGATAACCTATAAAGATACCTATAAAAATGGGAAATTTGTTTTATAAATTAATTAAACAAAAGAGTAATAATAATTAATTTAAAAATAATAAAATAAACCATCTCAAATCAGACGTTTTATAACTTCATTAAAACGTCTAAAATTAATGCACATTATAAATTATATTTGATATATAGATAATATTCACAAATTTGATAACAAAATAAGTAAGTAAAAACAAAAAAAGACACTTCTTAAAAATAAATAATAATACATTATTATTGTCAATGAAACTTCATTTAAATTAGTTTATTTTTTTTTCTTTAGAAAAAAAAATTAAAAGTAACGAAACTCTCCTTTTTTGCCAATTCGTTCCTTTCGTACCCAATCAGCAGGCGCTGGAACTGGTGGTGGTACAGAACCATTTCTGGACGGATCAGAACTCATGCTTTGGTCCACAAATTCACTTTTTATAGATTCCTATTTAAAAATAATAATTATACAGGTATTAGGTACCTACTTACTTGTATTGTATACATAATAAGGTACATTAATCACGGATTTGCCCAGTGTAGTAAGCGGTATGGATGATATATCACCCCTTCTCCCTAAGAGATCTAGATTCTAGAACCCAGACCTTTTCTCAATTTTTGTAATAACTTGTTATATCCAATACAGAATGTAAAATATCAAGTATAAAACATGCCACATAATGAATATTTGTTTGTTTATTGTTAATGTTTTATGTTAATCAAATTGCGTGATATTGTATACATTATTATAGTCATGAGTTTTTCTTGATACATTTAATTTTTTCCACTTCTTGTTGTGTTAATGCAGACCGTCTTTTCATCTCCTTTTTCAAAAGTAGTCTTAAGACCCTTGATCAGCTTGCGCATATCTCATTCAGAATTCCTGTTCACTCTTCCAGAAACCATTCCCTCTTCCATTCCGACTCATCTTACATGGACCACAATTACCCAATCTACAGGATGATACTTCTCTTCAACTCTTCTTAGTGATGCACCTTTACCTACTTATGTTCACTGTATGTTCTGTACTATGTATACCAATGCGTATTTACAGACCCTAACTGAGCTGGGTCACGAGTGTGTGAAATCAGTTTGTAAACGCATCGCTACTACAGACCATAACCTATTTGGGGCAATAGCCATTGTATTTTCAATATACATATAAATGATTTTATTTATAATTTATATTCTATAATATGAATTATATGAAAATAAATTATAATTATAAATATTTAATATTGCATTAGACAAAACATTATAAGACACTCTGTATACCTATTATGTACATTGCACTGTCTTAATTTATCAAATCTTGGTGTCAATGATAACTTCAGTTTACTTACAACTTTTGTGACAGCAGTATATGCGATTTTTTTTTTTATTAATATATTTATTAAATAATATATCGAATATAAATTATTTAAATTCAATATTAGGTGCATTAGACGGTCAATGTGGACAGTTTTAAATTCCATGATGAAGAAAATTATGTGGTATCCATAAAAACACAAATTGGAAATAATGAAGCATTTAGCCATAAATGTGATTCATGGGTCAAATCATTTTCGGAGAAAACAAAAACAAATTGGATTGTGCATAAAACTCACCCAAATTTAAAAAAAATGTACATACCATATAAAATATATTTGCCAACATTCTTCTAAAAATAAAACAATAAACGAGAATCCGACGATGGTAAGATTGAAAATTAAAAAATGTAATGCATCTAAACGTAAATGTTTGTTGATTATCGATAAAATTGAAATTTTAAATGAAATCAATAAAGGAGTTAAGAAAACAGATATTGCCGAAAAATATAGCATTCCGACAAGTTCGCTTTAGTCCGACCATATTGAAAAATCGCAAAAACAGTAAAACAAGTGCAAGAATCTTCTCTCATGGGCAATATAAAACGAATGAAAGTATGTGTTTATGAAAAAGTTGACAAAGCTATTTTTAAGTGGATGACTTGTATATAAAATAATAATCTTAGAATATCAGGTACGTTAATTGGAGAAAAAGCAATTTATTTTTCTCTGAAACTTGGTTTTGTGGACTTTCGTGTTAGCTCTGGGTGGTTAGATAAATTTAAGTCGAGACATAACATTGTGTTTAAAGTTATTTGTGGCTAGAGTGCTAATGTTCTAGAAAACAATTGTGATACTTGGAAATTAAATGTTTTACCAAAATTTATTGAAAAATTCTATCCAAAAATATTTTTAATGCAGATGAGACGGGTTTATTCTTTAAATATTTACCAAACAAAACTTTAGCTTTTAAACATGAAAAATGTTTGCTCATTGATTTCGGGCACTTGTGCCCCAGGTCAGTTAGAGTTCGTAAATACGCCCCTCCGGGCGTCTATTTATTTAAAATTAAATTGAAATAAATAAATAAATATTCACATTGCTCCCCAAAGAAACGCCCTAATTACGCCAATTGATATTTCTTTTACAGATAGAATACTAAAAAATTCAAATTCCATTTACTAAACGCTAAATATACCTATTTTCCTAAATTAAACAAATTTGGGAAATTACTACCTACAGTTACTGTGGAGATAATATAGTCTATACCTATAAATGACAAATTTAAACGTATTCGTTCTGCAGTATTTATATTATTATTGTGAATTGTCCAGTATATTAGGTGCCTAATAGTTATATAACTTACTTGCAGTGAATAATTTTGCGACTGCGAACCCGATCTCTTGTCGTAACCTTTGGCGTATACTGGATTCGTAAATATATCGTTCGAATCCAACATGGGATTAAACGGCGTTACAATGGTGTGGGGTACGTGAGCCACCTGCGCACGGTTGTTTCGAGCTTTCCACCATTTTCTGCTATCGTCCAATATCTACAAAATGTATAGATAAGTATCCGGTTAACATTATCAGTCATGCAACAGTATAATATTATATAGGTAGGCCATTTGTTGTATGGACCTTTACATCAGTAGCTATAATAATTACACTATTTAATTCAAACTGTTAACTATTAGCTATAGAAATTGACGCATGAATATTTTAATTTTTTGTAAAGTTAAAATCAAAAAACTGAGAAAATCGATCTCAAGTAGACTTTACGACATATTCAAATCTGCTTTCAGAATTCTTATCGTTTCACTAGATCAATCGGTAAGTTGGAAATAAAACACATCTAAATCCCTATATCTCACGTATGTAAAACAAAAACTCGTCGCTTCCAACCCCATAATGTTATTTCTTTTTTTGTATTTGTACAATTATATTGAGAAAAACCGGGAAAAAATCCACGAAGAAAACGAAAATATTAATGATAACAGCAGTTACTGTTAATTTCAATTTTGTTTATATTGTTTTAGTTTTAATTAAGTAGGTAAAAATAATCGTAAAAGTCTGAAATGTTCACCTATTTGTGTTCTTACTTTCTAGATGTGGCACAGTTTTTAAAATAGTCAAACGTACTTCGAGTTATTTATAACTATTTAAATAATTTTAATTTATTTATTTTTAGTTTTATGTAGATAAAATCAATTTGATTCCATGAAAATTCACAACAATTTTTTGAAACAAGGTTCACCATAATATCTAGTACCAGAAATCTCTACAACTTTCTAACTTTTTTTGCGAATTTTAAACAAACAAGTGTGAAACATTATAAAAATGTAAAAAAAAAAAATTATCTTTATTAAAATTATCACGTTGATTTTTTTGATTACAGTTATAATTTCTATTTCGATTGAATCTAATTGCGTTATAATTATTATACCTGTTTTGGTTGAATCTATCAGTGTTATAATTATTGTTTCCATTGTGATTTAATCTTTGATTTATTCGATTATTAGTATTTGCGTGTGCCATATTTACGAATTTTTATCATCTCTATTTCTTTCCTCAATTTCTCAAGTTCTGTGCCACATTATTTTTCCTCATTTTTATTTGTATTTTAATTATTTCATGTCAATAAATTTAATTTTTTCAAAAAAAAAAAAAAATTTTTAATTTTTATTAAGTGCATGTCATATTAATTTATTATTTATTAAAAGTATATGAAATCTTAATTTCGAAGACAAATTGGAAAAATGATTGTGCGAGTTTTGACGAAACTTTGAGAGCTTATTTGGCACCCGGTGCCTCCGCCACTTACAATACGCCTCCTTAGATTTCGAAAATGGAACGAAGAGACTGTCAATATTTATACCCATATATGTAATCCTATCCACTTAGTCGGAAATGTTGGTTGGCTATTCCTATTACACTAGCCGGCCTTTTGAAATGGGTCGTCAGACTAATATACCTAAATAAAGGTATCTAAGTTATGTTTTACAAATATTTATTTATTGTACATCTAAATAATACCTAGTTAAAATAACTACCGCGGTTTATTGTTTACCGTTATGATGTATATATCATATAATAGATGTGACTCACTTCTAACAATTCGCCCCGGACGACAGAAAGTTCCTTGTCATTATTGGCCGTCCTTGGATACGTGACTTGGACTATTTTCACGCCACGGGCACGCATATCTTCTAACCATCTAGTTTGAGCCCTTTCAAACCGCTCACTACCCGGACCACTGACATTGTTTCGCTCAATTGAATCGGCAGATATATCGCTGCGTGCCGCCATATCTCGTTCTTTATCCATTCTCGGTGGACTGTGCAGTGACAACGTATTGAAATCTGGCTCTTCCTCGTTCTCTAAACTGTGTGAATCATCTCTGAAAAATTATGATTTAAAAAATAAAAATTGCTCATAAATATATGTTGAAAAACGCAGTTTTCTACAGGTATATAAGTGTAATGTTTTTAAGAAATTGCGTTGATAAAAAAAAAAAAATATATTCCTGTTTACATATTTTTTAAATGTTTACATCTATAAACGCGAATAGAGGGACTAACCCAGTCACCAAAAAAAAACAGCTAACCCCCCCCCCCTAAATCAAGACCATATCAAAATATTAAGTAGATATATATATATATATATAATCAATATTATGGGGTGTTAGCCCCTCTAAAATATTTGGATTATTTGCGCCTGTAGTATGAAATATATAATAGGTATAATATTAGAACATAATACCTAATATATAAAATGATAAAGTTATCAACAAAATCCTAAAACAATTTAAATATTTAAAAAAAATCCTCACAAAGAGTTGTCTGCAGTATTGCAACTGTTAGTTACACTTTTTATTACGAAGCCGACAATGTTTCACGTTTATTACCTATCATCCGTCCCAAATTGTTCTTGATGATGTCCAGAATAGTTACCACCGCTATTGAACGTGTATTGTGGTCGAATGCCCATCATAGCCGATTGCTCATGTTCGTATTCGAAATAATCACTGCTGTCGTCGCCCACTCCGGTATGCTCTCGATCCCGATGATGATATAATGTATCTCGTATCTCTCCCTAAAACAAAATTAAAAAGATAAAATGTATTTTTATTTTTCTTAAAATCCGCGAATTCATAACACAAAGTTTTACGGGGTTTATTACCTCGGGGTTCGAAATTTTTATCTCGTCTCTCGATTTCTTGGATTCCGTTACACCCGGAGTTGGTACGTTGGACGGATGTTCATCAGAGACTGGAATAGGATACTCTGGCGACCAGCCGTCCATAAATATTGGATGGTAAGGAGCCACATAGCCTTTCCATTGCTCCCTGTAAAATAATGATGTGTTATTCGAATAAGCTTTAATTTTTATAATAAGTACGCGTACAATATTTAATGTTATATATTATAACCTACGAGTTTAATCCATCAAAAGTTTTAATATAAGTAAAAACACCTTTAAAAAAAACACCTACCTTGGAATAAGCCATGCGTCTCCTAGCGAATGCCATAGTTCTGTTTCTTTACTGGTCACACAGTTCATCAAGAGATTAATTGCGTCCCTTGTAAGTAATGGTGACACAACTCTGGATGGAATGTTTGGTTTATAGTGCGTATCGTGAGACGCATCAACAATCAACGCTAATGGAGTGAACAAGAAATGCACGAGTTCTGGAGCATTGGGATCGTGTATGTGAGCTTTTAATTTCGCCTATATGAATATCAAAATAATAATATTAATTAAATATTAAAAGAGACGATTTTATATTGGTTTTTATTTTTTCCTAAAAATATAATATCTTTACCAAGAGATTAAATGAAAGTTTGAATTTTTGAAAAATATCGACAAATTCGATTTCTGGAGGAGGTTTAGCTCGCATCGTCAGCATTCCGTCACCAATGTCCTTCTTCTTAGATTTACGGTTCCTATTTAAATACCAATATTAAATACTGTCAATATATATATAACTTAAATAATAATTTATCCTCCTTTATTCATTTTTTTTTTCACAGAGTTGTTTCAAATATTCCCCCGAGTGTTCTCACGTTTCCTGTTCTTTAATTTTTGATTGGAGAGGAGGGGGAGAAAAGTTCTTCATTATACTTAGATGTACCACGTTTTTTACTCACTCATAATCGAATGCACGACCTGATCACACATATTATTGATTATATTACGTTACAAAACTGCACACAAGGGAAGTCGGCCGCAGTTTTATAAAGTATTTGAATAAATGTATTAAAAAAAAAAAAAAAAAAATGTAATACTTTTTTTATACTAGAATAATACTATGTTAAATACTCTTCGGAAAAAGTATATCAATATACGTGTATACTGAATATTGTTTTTTGTATATTTTTATTCACTATAATACTTTTTTTCTGAAACAAATAATAATTTTTAATCTAAATTTTGAATAGGTAATCGATTTTTACGGCCACAGAATAAATTATGAACGTGGTATTTAGTTGTTATGTTTAATCGAAGTTTAATAATAAATTGGCCTACATAATATTTGATTAGTTATACTACTTATACTACTCAGTAATCAATTTATTTAACATATTTTTAGCTATAAAACGTTAAATGCAGAACTATTGTTTTGAAACTGACATAAATTAGCTAAAGAAAAAAATATTCAAATGCTTTTTGAAATATTGGAATATATATTCTGAATATAGTTTTTTTTTAAATCTTATACTAAAACTTATACAAATTCTGGCTATAGTTTAATAATTTTAAAATTACCTCCTTCGGCGTTCCAGTTCTCGAGATGCTGCGGCTGCATGCTGTAATCTGGCAATGAATTTCTCAATGTCGTCGAAACAGTGATTCAGTACAATAACATCTCTTTCGTATTTTTCACTAGATGTTGAACTTGTTTCGTCGTCCACTCGAGTGGTATTGTCAGAGTCTAAAATATTGAATATAATTAACTAGATACCTATTAAAAACAACTTGCAATTTTTTTAAATATTCTTTAAACTTATAATTTTTACAATTTAATTACTAGTAGAAACATGAAAACCTTAATACAATAACGTTGTAATCAACCTATTTTTATTTTTATTTTAAACTTGGACAATGAAATATAAATTTGAAATCCAATCCAACGTTATATTAAATTAATATTAATATTTTAAATTATCTCAATTACAAAATGTTTGCATTCATCGTGAAAAAACAAAAAATACTCACGATGAGCAACAGCATTGAAAACAGATACTTGTTCTCGTACGCTTACACCATTCAAAGGAGGATTCGGCGGTGGCGTCGGAGGAGGTGGCGGTACATGTCTAGACTTTCTGTTAATTCCTTTGCCAGATCTCAGGAGCTTCAAGTCCTCAACTAATTCTTGTGCTGGTACGCTTTGACACTAAAACATATTATGCATTGTTATTTTAATTTTCATATTCACACGAACACAAACATAACAATTTCAATCATAGGCTTTATTGTATTCCCCATAAGATAATTAAAATAATACAATATGCGGATAATATAGTAATAAAAACTTGAATTATAAGTATTAAATATTTATGTATATTATTGTTGTAATAATATGAAATTTAAAAAAATGTAAATATAGTATTTTTGTAAATTCACATTTTCTTTAAATAGATTCACTAAAGCCGCAACAAACTAATTAGTTATCGATACCTAGGTAAGTACTTAGTTTTGTTTTGTGAATATGTAATTACCCATTTTTGAAGGATGTTCTCTGTTTTATTACCTCGGTACCATAAATTATTGTTTTTGTTTTCCCCGATTACCGTACCTATTGGTTACCTATTGTAAGGTACCGGTAATATATATTAAATTTATTTTAAATAGGTAAATACTTGAAAAATGTGCATTTCGGACCGTGAATCGACTTGACCAACGACAAACACTAGAATATTGTTGTAAATTTCCATAGGATCGTTGCTAGTAAACGCAGTTGGTTCTTTTACTAAAGAAATCGGAAATCGTTCCATCACAACCTAACAAGAAATATAATATCAATATCATATTAAAAACAATACATTTTATTTTATGTTTAATAACACAATATTAATATCGTATAGTTTTAGACACACAGTGAACATAAAACCATTTTCACTTACACCAGTTTCGTAATCCATTATCAATACCCAAGACTGATCGAGACGCAGTTGCATTTTTTGCGACCAAATACCGTTAGATTTTTCTAAATACAAGAGTCTTCTCATTCCATCAGCAGGGTAAACTATACCGGTGCTTTTTGAAACCGTAAATGTGGCTAAATGTTCAATCACATAGGTTGGGGCCGAATTGTTATCGTCACCATTCCTCTCCTCGCCAGCGGCACTTTGTTGGCCACCGTCTTAAAATTAAAAATATTAATAATTAATTAAAATTCTTAATTGATATAGACGCTTATTATAGATACCCGTGGAATATCCATTTGAATTGACACTGTTTCGATGATACGGCATTATTGGTTTTTCGTTAAAGTCTCTAAAATTAAAATGTTTGTATAATTGAGACAAATTTAAAAAAAAAAAATTGTATTAATGTATGATGTATATCGTTTGGGTAAACCATATACGGCTATACGATTCAAAAATAATTATTACTAGTTCACCCACCCGAAAAATATGTACCTACCTATATAGGTTTTAATAATATGTCATCGAAATCAGAACGATTACTTAACGAAGTACCTCTATGAAAAGAAAAATGAGAAAAAATACTTGCTGAACTCTTGAAACACGATTTTACTTTCAAAGACACAATAATGAAATAATCACAAAATCTAAACCGGTAAACTTGAACGATTTACTGATTACACTTTATAATTTGTCAATAAAAGCCATATAAAATAGTTTTATTTACACTAACGAACAAAGAAAATTTGAAGGGTTCGTGACTGCAGTTGAGTATGAATATAAAACGTAAAATAACAAGACGGTGGGTACCAGCTATAGTTAATTTATCGTCTAAACACGTGGGAGCGCTACCTATCGTTAATTTTTGTTTGTAATAGGCTGTAAACATAGCGATTTCAATGGATGTATTTGTATACTATTTATTTACGAAACTACGTTGATTTTTAATTTCTAAATGCATTATTTGTCGCCATATGCTAATGCTCATTCAATTATCAACCTATTAAGATCGTATTATAAGCTAGTTTGTGCGTTTGTCTATGTAAACGTATGACTAATCACATAGGTAGGTGATAAACTTTTTGCGATTTAATAGTACAATATATAGACTTTTTTTAAAAAAAAAGTGAACTATCAATGATAATGTAAACATGCAATATATAGTATAAAATGTATGACATATCAACTTATGGTATACTATCAAATATGTATTTTCCTAATATGATAGTAATAAACTATAATAATTAATACAATATTTTTTGAGTAAAGGTATACCTACTTCAGGTTATTCAGGCGGTGCATTGATATATAATCTATGGATGGTATCTATATGAAATAATGATAATACGTAGTTTTTTCTTACGATATTCGGTTATTCTCAATAATCAGACCGGTGTATAACAGGTAAATTGAATTCCCCCAGTGAAATTTGCCGGGCGATAATACTTACATTTACCTGACGATGGTCATTTTATAAGTTAAAACAATATGAAATTGATTTCAAAAATTTCTTATATTTTCTCTTTAATAATATTTCTGATAAAAATCTATAAAATTTAAAATCTGTGTATTCCATATAGGTATAATCGTGTACATTTTAGAATAATTAAATTTATTTATTTATTTTTTTATTTGAATAGATTTAAACCTATTGGTGGTGTACAGTATAGGTTAGGTTACCTATATTAAATGATTTTGAAATCCATGGATATTATTATGGAGAAATTATTTACTGACATATTCGTTGTAATATGAGAAATCGAACTGCGCTATAAATAATTTTTAATTGCTCAAATCAAAAAACCTAGACGGTTATACTATTATAAATACTGAAAAATATATAACATCACAAAATATACATACCTTTTGTTATTATTTCCTGGCTGTTGCATCGACATATCTTTCAATCCAGGCATTTCTTAAAACAATTAACTGAGGCAACATCTAACTCTGAAACATAAAAAGTTTTTTATTACAAATAAACGAACTTTAATTTAAAATTCAATACATCATTACATATTCAAATACCTAATGAAAATAATAATTAAATATTTTATTCTCCGAAAGATAATATGAAGATTTATAATGCAGACACGGATCCAAGAATATTTGTTTAGATGGGTCCATAAATTTAATCCCAAAAAGACGTCCTAGGTTAATGGGGTCAGGTGCAGCCACTGCTATATGTAATTTAATGTACTCTTGTAAGCAACGATAAACCATTGTTAACGAAAAAACGACTTCGAGTGGAGTTCAGTGTATAGTGCTATTTTGTCAACAATGCGTATGCCATATTTTAGTATAATTCCAATTTTTCCAATTCCACAATTAAAATAATGGATCCCGTTTTCCTCAGTTTTTTTCGGTATTCACATTTGTTGAGAAAACTTCTGATAAGATCGAAAAATGACCTCTATAAAGTACCTCACTAGTGAAATGCATGTTTTCAAAAAAAAATATAAATCTCCCTAGTCAAATATACTTTTCAAAAATGCTATCATTTTAAATTGGAGCAAAGTTGTTAGTAGTAAAGTTGTAAACAGGAAAAAAAGGGCCGTAATATTTTTAACTAATACCTATATTTTTTACATTTTCCGTTTTACCAACCAAATTTAAATTATTAAAACATAACGTGAATAAAGTTTCAGAAATTGACAATAGACGCAATAATATTACACGCGTGTGTCAATTAACAATTTATTTGGATATGAAAACGGTGGTGTCCGGTCTGCGTATACTCACTATTTCTTATTGACATTTTATCGGCGTTTGATAAAATGACGATCGATAATTTGATATAAATATGTTAATCACAGGGAAATTTGCATTTTACTATAGGAAGTATCGGTATGTACTATATTGTACTCTTGTTACTTTCAGTGTAAGATTACTATAGACAAAATATTGTTGTTTTAAATAAATGTAAAATCTTAATAAATAATAATTGTAAATAGTAATTTGTATAATAATACTGAACATCATAATAAATTGTCGTTGAAAATGTTGGGTGGGCCCTGGTCCACCCGGCCCACCCTCTGGATCCACATTAATTATAATGCATTCCATATGCTATCTAAGAAAACAATTACGTGTAGTGTGTATACCTATACTACCTAGTGTTTAGTGTTTAGCCAGTATTTAGACAATAATCTATAGGTGTTTAAAAATTGAATATTTTTAGTAGTTTATCTATAGTAATGATTTTGAATATGTTATGTCCAGACTGGTGACACTCATCAAAATCATTATTCATAAGACTACGCAATAAATCATAATACATAATTTAATATTAACAACACAATTATATTTAGAATAAGAACGATTTTTGCAACACTATATTTTATAAGTTTGTTACATTAAATATAACATAAAACTACTAATATATAGATAATATATTATAATAGTTGAGAATTCTGATGGAAAAAATTCATCTTACACTATTATCAAACTAAAATAATTATTTATATCGCGTCGAAAAAAAACACATAAATAAACCGGTATGTATATTGTATTTTGTAAAAAGCTATAAGTAATTCAAAATTTATAATAATCAATTTTACTTTAAATTGAAATAAATCAGTCCTTAAAATATATAATAACGTATCGATTTGGCATCGATATTATTTTTTTACACTTATAAAAGTCATCTATAAATATAAAAAACTTAATTATTTAATTACAATAATCGGTATGGATATTGGTTTGGCCGATCAGCAATGTTTTAAATGTGTAAACGATGTTCATTATAAGTTGTAGGTACTTGGTGGTAAAAAATAATATAATGTAACAGTTTATTTTAATAATCTGTTTAAGTTCAAATTTTGACAGAAATCATAAAAAAACAGCATTTCAAAACATGTACCTGCAACTGAATTTCGCTCAGAATCCTATTTCGTTTATTGTAATCGTTGCATACAGATATAAATTAAATACTCTATTTTATTCCTACCTTTAGTAGTAAAAGTAGAAAATACTTCGAAGGGGGAATATATTTACCGAAAATTGAGAGACATTTTCGCGAACTAATTAAGCCTAACCTAACTTTCAGAAAACCCATCATGAAAACAAGACTTCTAAAATGTTAGTTTTTTATACACATTTATTCAGAAATTTTAGAAAATTCAGAAAATTAAGTATAGTTATTGGATTAGTAAACCGAAATCAAAAGGTCCAATAACAGAACAACGTAAATCGACATTTTTAAACAAAAATAAATATATGTTGTGGAAAAATTCATGTTAAAATATTTATCGAAATAAAATTATATTATACTTACATAAAACGAGAATACAATTTTTAAATTTGGGTCAAGACGATTTGTATTCAATTATTAGAGTCTAAATATGGGTTATACTATAGTCGTCGCGACGACTAAAAACCTGACCTAACCTAACTATAAATCAAAACTTTTAATATATATGTAATCACAGGTTTTTTGTAAAAAAAATAAAAACAAAACAATAAAAAATAAATATTATTAAACGAATATCATCTTACTTTAGATTGTGAGTGGAGAAAGGTTAGTTTTCTCGAATAATATTTTTGGGACAGTGAATATTCAGCAAACGGTTTATGTATAAAAACATGGTCTACTTATAAATGGAAAATTTAACACCGGTCATAGTTTATAGAAAGGGAATTTTTTCGATTTCATAGTACATATAATATTAAATTGGTTAAAAAAAAAAACGTTTTTGAAAATTACTTATACTTAGATTATAATATAAGCTTATTAATAAGTAGTAGATACACCTACTTATTAATATCGCAATACCAAGCAGACGTTTAGATATCGTAAACTGTTTTTCTAATATTAATTTACGATAATGTGATTTTTCCGATATGTTTAAAAGAACAATATTTTTTTATTTATTATTTTTTAACTATGCAGTAGTATAGTTTAAAAGACTGACATACTTTGCACGTAGGATAGATGAGAAGTTTAGAAGGTAGGATATAGAGGAGAAATTAATTTGTATCTGTAGGCAATTATAAACCATTGCTACCGAAAAACGATTCGAAGAGAAGTTTCTTTTATACGTGTTCATACATTTTTCCATTTTTACTATGTTTTTTTCGCGATTTACATTATACTTCTACAAAAATATTGTGTTGCTACGGGTAATCACAAAAAAAAATGTACTTGATTAAAGTTATTATTTTTTTTTTAAAATTTGGGACTCAAACTAGTTACTTAATATTTTAGTTTTAAAATCAACTTTAACTTAGTTTTTTTAGTTTAAAAAAATGGTCAACTTTCCCAGTTCTGTCTGTATAATAAAAAAACGGTTACAATAAACAAGTTGTTAATAATAATAAAAAATTATTATTTTTATTTGATATAAAATAAAAAATACAAAACAAAACAATGAAAAACAAGAAATTGTGGTATTATGTGGCAAGTTCGTAATATGTGCGAAAAGATATTGTTTACATAAATAACCACAAATTAACACAACTTTAAAATAGGACTTAATTTAATTTAGAACTTTATTAATTTTTTCACCTCCGTCTAATATTATATGAAACCATCACTGCGTGCCACTCGGGGAAACTACTTTCGCGCGACTTTACACGGTTCAGACGGCCTCGTTTATTGTTCGAAACAAATTCGTTACATTAACAACAATTAAATATTTAACAACAATATAATAAAACTATGTTATTATTTCTGTTTCTTTCACTTTCTTTAATATATTATTAGTGTACTGTAACACGGTTTTACGTCTTGGTTTTAAATACATACTCGTATATATGTTTATAGTTCCGGAGGACTAAAACTTGTATAAGATTCGGTCGATATAATATTATAAACTTTTTTATTTTTTGCTCAGACGTCTATAAGCTATTTTATATTATTCTAATATCTCGACTTCCATTAGCAGTAATGCGTTTAGTCTGGCTGTATCATATTAATATCCGAGAGAATGTGCGCGCGATTGGCATGCCATTTAGTATCGTCACCCATCCGGAATGTAGCTATGCTTGACACGATTCGACTCTAAACTCGGGATAACATATTAATATAATATCTAAAAGTGTATACTATACACGTATAATACACCTATATTTATACAAAATATTATAACCGGTCGGCCTGTATACGCATGCTGAATGTCTACAAATATTATATATAGGTACCTACGTTCATTCAGTGAATACTTTTTATGAACGCGAATCGCTGTATATTATACGTATTTTTTTTTATCTATAATCTATCAAAACAATCTATAGACATTTATGTACACATTTTTCTGCGATAAATATAATTCAAAAAACATATACATAACGTATTATAATGATTTTATAGTAAAAATGTAAATTTCAACAGATTTTAATTCAATCACCTCCTATACAATGATATATATCTAAATTATGTCGTATTTTTAAATACTATTTTCATTTCGTTTTCATAAGTATTTCAATAGTAACTGTTTTTATATTTTATATTACTAAAATAACTAAACGTGTTTGGAAATAAAAATCGAGGTTAAAATATAATAAATAGTATATAGGTACATCTATATATATATACCTATAATGTATATCAATTGTATATACCTAGTATACCTACTTATAATATTAATACTTATTAGATATCCACTATATTTGTTTTTGGCCATAATTATGCAAATTTAATTACATTATAGTAATCTATCCTTATACATTATTTAGGTAGGTATGCATGATGTATAAAGATATAATATTATGTAATGTGTTACAAAAATTATAATATAATATATGTATTTTTATTCCATTACAGTATTATTTTAATTTAAATATTTTACCAACGATATTGGTACTATAATTATATAATTATTGGAGGGTCTTAAGATAGAGCGAGAATAGTGAAAAATTACGAGAATATTAAATTTTTAAGTTTGCGACTCCTGTTTATTCACTGTGTACGAATATTTTTAACTTTAATTTTCGTTGGACTATTTGGTAACGAGCAATTTTGAATTTTTGATTTATTTTGTATAAAATAAACATTTTTAAGCACATCCAAGTCTCTACGGATCAAAATATCACCATTTCGACTATTTTTATTTTACCTCTATAATATTATTATTATTCAATAGTATTTGTCAACCTAACATAATATAATGTGCGCTTAGGCGTCATTTTAAATAAAATCACAGTATAGCATTTTGAATAATATTTTTAATTCAATTGTGGTCTAGTAAAGTAATTTAGTGAGGCAACAGTCGGTGGGCCATTGGTAAGTTCTAGTTAATTGTTCATCAAAATTAGGTAGAAATATATTAAATAATCGTTCAAGTAGTCTATTTCTACTTCAAATTAATTTAAGCCGATAGTATAATAATTATCTTAGTAAGAAATTAATATGATTATACTCGTATTTTAAAAAGCAAGAAAATTATACTTTTTTACAAATTACTCATAAGGTAGCGTATCTATTAATTTACAACCCTGATGAAAACAATACAGTTATTGCTAATGGTACCTACTCAGTTGAAAATAAATATTAAAAAGAAAAGACAAAATATGATATCGCTACCTATGCACCTAACATTCTACAGGCATAACAATTAGATAATTTATTATGAATGAGTAATAAGTAATAAGTATTATATACTAGTACCTATTTATATGTAGTATGTAAGTATAAAATGCAGCAAGCACGTATGCAGGGTCAATTTTTTTTTGACTGTGAGTTTGAAAATATTTTTAATACATGAACTATAATATAGTTAGTCTTTGTTATATTATAAAAATATACATCTTTTAAAAATGTTGTGGGAGGGAGAGGGCTGAACCCCAATCACCCCCCTCCCGTAAAGGGGTTTGATATGCAATATATTATACTACTTAATGCAATGCACTTATATATATATGCTTATATGATATTTATGTGCGGCCTAAACATTATGGCACTAAACAACAACAAAACTATAGGGACTGGTCTATATATTATCCTTTCCCCGGACCCTCAAATTCGACACGCATAGCTATTTCTTTTAATGGAATGTACATATTAAAATAACAGTGTAATACTGTAATTTTTACCTAACGAATTAATTACCGAGGTATTATAGATGGGTAGTTCATCTACTTACTTTGTATTTGTCACGTGCAAATTTAAAATAGCCCATTTCAACACGTATCAGAATATCGATTGATGAAACATAAAAATATAACGGGAGTACTGAGGTTATGTCATGAATATTGAATACAATAATAGTTTTAAAAATATGCGACTTTGTTTTCAGTAAAATGGTATCTTACCTATCGCATGAATGCAAATTCATGCAAAATGCATTTTAATTTTTAATTTTTTTTTTTAAATGGATTTTTTTTAAAGTACATATATATACATACAAATTAAATATTTCTAAACGCCATTTTTTACATTCAATTAGGTAGGTATATTATATTAATTGTACACGTACTACGAGTTTATGAATATAATTGCATAGTAACATAAATTAGTATACGATAAGAATTCTATTCTGGCTTTACTCAGGCTTTGTTTAATAATAATGTTGACCTTCTTTCAGTAAGAAATATTCAGATGAATAAATTTTGATCAAATTTGCAACTAAACAAAGGGTGGCTTATCAAGTCTTTCTTTCCGTACTTTTCGTTATAATATTAGCTTGTTGTAATTCAAATTACAGATTATAAATATATTTTTATAAATTTGTATAAGTAATAATACAAATAAAAAACTAAATAAAACAAATTTGTTTTGTAAAAATTGTTTGTTAATTATCATAGAAAAAGTGAATTTGTATAATAATCACTTATACAGTTGTACCAGTTATACCAGATAAATGCACTCCCCTTAAAATAATCTTAGATCCATCCTTGCTCTAGAGTCTAGAGTATGTGAACGAATTTGTGAAAAATAATTTTAAAATTATATTTTTTTCTCGAAACCCTTTATTTCGTTATTTTTTTTTTCAAAAGTTCATTTGTTATTTGTTATGATGCCTGTGAATACCTTTTAAAAAGGTAACTTCATTTTTAAATATCAAACAAATCATTATCGAAATTATTTAATATGCACACACGCATAATTTTTAAAACTCATAGGAATGTTAGTAAAATATACCACCATATAATATTACATTTTATCGGAAATTATAGGAATACCTACGTCGCAACTATGTACAACACTATCTTAAGTCATTATAATAATATTTTTTCCAAGATACGATGCCAACAAATTCCCTTGCGGTCATATATCAAACCAGAGGTCATTATTATTTCATAGCATGCAATCGAGTAGGTACCTGTAGGCTATGTAGGCTATACGTTTTGAAACGACGGAAATAGAAAAAATTAAATTAAAAATTTGTGCGAGTAACTTGAATTTAAAAATTTGTTTTTAAACAGTGGAGTACTCGTGTGTATCCATCAAAGCCGTAACAATAAGGTTTTCCAGGGTCTTTGGCCACACAAAAATATCCGCTCTTATAGCCAAATAGCTAACCTACCACTGTGGCACTATTCATTTCCATTAAAATTGTATTGGTTTCTATTATGTATAAATTTATAAATTATGGATTTTACGCCTGTTTTTCGAGATGCGTTCTTGGTCACAGCCAGTCTTTCCAAGACATGACTACAGGCCTACAGCTCTGGCATGTATGAATTAATACTATTCATAATATATCTACTTGTATAAAGTAGATATACAACTAATAATTTCTAATTTCTAGTACTAAAATATTTTAAGTCGTATGTAGACGTACCTATTATGTCGGTGCTTTAATTTGTTGTGAATTTATCTTCATTATATAGGTATACTATACCTAGGTGTATAATTAGAAGGAGAACATACGAACGGAAATATTAGCGCAGCATATTTTAGTCGGTAGGTATTCGGTGAATAAATTATTATACATGAATTGAAAGTTATGAATAAATAATATTGACGACGAGTCGTATATTGTAATACATATTATATCAGGCGAGTTACTACTAGAATCTCGAAGAGAAATCGTTATCGTAAAAGTGTTTCTTATCGAATTATTCCGACGCATCGTCCAAGAACCGACTATTCGGTTCGCAGATTTTATAATAACATTAATAAAAATGAAAAATAAAGTTAGCATACATTCACAACAAAAAAAAATTTTATTTGATACCTATTATTTTTATATTGTAATGAGCATCACACGTTATTTAAAATACCTACTTAAATAATTTGTAATGGCATTTATTTCCCGTTTGAAATATTCAAATGCAATATTATTTTCATCACGTGTATTAATAGATATTAAATTCCTATTTTAGATTTTGACACCAATGCAGGTAATAAGCTTTATGAAGTGATAAGTGATAACGATGAGTTTCTTTTTTGTGCCTACCTAAATTAGTGAAAATTGTTTTCAACGTCAAGGATAATTATTATTACCTCGATCATTTTACGACACTATATGAACTATATGAACAACATGTTACAAACGAATTGAAAAATCAATGAGAACAAAATATAAGTAGGTACCTATCTAACGATTGAACAGTGCATTATTTAGAGTCGGTTTTCAAATACTATATCATCTGCTAGCTGTGTCATCACGTTCAAATTTAAAATAATAATTTTCTAATACATAATACAGTATATCCATTATACTGACGCGTGACGATGGTGAGACAAAATGAACAACAGAACACCCAGATCTCGATGAATATATTATAATAAATATTTTGAATATGTTATATTACAACACGGTGGTTCATCCTATTCAGATTTACCATTGGCCCTTACCTACCGAAAAAAAAAAAAAAACATAAAAACCACGTCATAATATTTTTGTGAGAACGTATCGAAAAATGACTAATGCAATATTATTTTCCACGTTACTACGAATATGTACCTTCGTACGTCGTCGGTTTACTTAAACAGTGACGTCGACTACAACAATAATAATTGTAAGTAGTATAATTGACGCGTGGCATCATAAAAAAATTAATTTTTGTTATAAGCCGGTAGGTAGTAGTATTAGTGTATCCAAGATTTTTTAATGAAAGTGGGGTAAACATATTGAATTAAATGTAGGTATACACATATAATAACGCAGGTAAATACACCTATATTTGTTTTAAAAATTATTTTACAATAATGATTTTTATTTAGTTGACTATAAGTAGTGCAAATGTGCAATGATTGTTATTTTATTAGAAATAAGTTTTTGCTGCTTAATAATTAAATGCATTATTTGTTTATCTTTTAACACGGCCAATAGGAAAGAGATTAGGTTGAAGCCCCCTTAACCAGAGTGGCGGCTCACGAACATATCAAGTGAGGCAGGTATTTTAAATATACCTATAAGGGGAGAGAGCGGTAAATACATAAAGAAACAAATATACGTGTAGGTAATATCAGAAATATAAAATGAGCTGCTGTTATTGTCATTAACTGTTGATTTTAGGCTTTGAATAATCAGTAATTATTTTAAAAATTTGAAAATATTTACTTGGTAAGTATCTATACAAATGTTTTTGAAACCCAACGGCCATCAATAATATATTTTGAGCGAAATTAATTTTAAGATTTTAAAAAATAGCATTTATAATAAGATAAAGTTTATTTTACTGTACCTACCATATCGAAACATTTTCGATGAGGCAAGTCTAATCTGACGAACAGCCACTGCTTATCAATCCCTCCCCCTCCCACTGAGGAGGTCACTGAAGGTGTACACAATGTTTTTTTTCGAAATAATATGTATTTTAGGTTATTTCTTCAAAACAAATAACGATCTGGCGTTCCTGTTGAAGTGTTTACTTTCATTATTCATATAAGTAATAATTTTACAAAATAAGTACCGATATATTTTAAAAGTTTAACAACATCTATATGCAGTTATATTAGTCATATTGGTTTTAAATCGTATCAAATTACCAATGACGAAATTAAAGATTATTATTATTTAAGAAATTCAAAATAATAATATTATAACATATAATTTTAAAACTAATAGGACATATATCAAACATATAAAAGATGAAAAATGATATTTGGATTATTAAAAATGAAAACAACATTTTTTTTTTCACACCAGTGAATGGTATGAATGTTTATTTATATTAATGACTATTAACTATTTAAAAATACGGTATTTTATTTTTTTCTGTATTACGAGCCATATTATACGTATATTAAAGTGTATTGTTATCAGTTTTCTTATTATACTGTATTATATTATATTATACAATACATATTTTGTACAGTATAAAAATCAAAATCATGTAAAAGATATTTTATTTACAAAATGTATACAAATTTTAAATTACATACGAAACATAGATAAAACATGAACAAACTCAACCTTTATTCATTTTAATATATTCATATTGATATCAAATTTTAAAAAAAATCTAAGGAAAAATGCATATAAAAATTGTTAATAAAGTACGAAGAAACAGATTGATCACTTAGGTAACGAAAAAAAATTCTATACAAATTTTACACTATTGTAAAAAATAATTCTGTACAGCGTGTATAATATCATGTATATACGAAATAATACATTTGTATTATACAAATATGCATCACTATATTATATAGTTAAGTTTTCGATCTATATAAAAAAACAAAACTAAGTACAAATATGTCGACTAAACACAAATGATATTAAAAATATATACATAGTTAATATTACCAATTGAATATTAAGATGTACATTTTATGATTTTAATATCAATGAAGATAGTTTATACATATAAGACATATGTATGCAAATTTTATTTTGGTTAGGTAGATCATAGCGAGAAATGTATTGGTTATACTATTTTTTGTTCGTCTGTACATCACTTTTCTACTAGAAATCGTAGTTCAACCAAAAGATGACAAGAAACCTTTTTTGATGCATTTAGTTGATACATTAAGTCATTTTTTTGATTTTCTGAGCAGTTTTCTTAATAATTGAAAAAAACCGAAAAACAAACGTAAAGGAAAAGTAAACAAAATTTTAAATTTTAAATGTTTTCGATTTTTGTTTTCTACAAAAAATTGTCCTCCAAATTTCAAGAGCAGCATATTTTCTGATATCAAATGTTCTCTACTCTAAGAATAAGAAAATTTTGTATTTTATGTCCCGTGGGGTTTTCTTCATAATTAGGAAAAAACGTGGGAAAAACTTATGGCATTATTGGTTCCATAATTTTCGCTATAGTTTTCTTGTTGTAAAATCTGTTAAAAATAATCGTGAAAACCTTTCACAGAATATTTATGGTAACCTTTTCTAAACATTGAAACATTTTAAAAATATTGTAACAATTTTTGAGTTATTTATAGGTATTTGGCATTTAAAATTTTTTTTTGTTTTTATGTTTTAGTATGTGTAAGAAAATAGATAAAATAATTTTACTTTACAGAAATACTTAAAAATTTAACACAAAGTGCATTGTATTTGTACGTTATAGTATAGTGTTAAAAAAAAATAATAATAATAAGTTGAGCGTAATGCAGTTGTTTATTTTTAAACGTTTTAAGTTCAAATTTTGACGAAAAACGGAATATAGGTGTTCGTAAAAAATAAAAATCCGAAAATACAACAAAAACGGTTTACAGAAACAAAAATAAATAAATATAAATAAAAAATAAAAAAGCACACATCATTATAGTTAAACCAATCACACATTCCTCGCTACGCTCAGAACCTAAAAACGAAAGTAAATATTTGTGTTTTATTTTTTATTAGTTGTGATTTAATTAACTGATTAATTCAACAAACCAATTAGAGTCCTGAGATATCTAATATAGTATTCACTGTATAATATAATCATATTACTGTGCGTTTCAAAATAATTCATCTAATTTCAAAAAATTATATTATTGTAATTTTAATAATCAGGTTAGGTTAATAAGCTTTACAAGTTAGTCGATTGCATTAAGTTTTAGACATATTTGCGAATGTTTAATATGACCTCCCTTACTTGCACGACACACATCTAAGCGATATTAAAATTTCTCATAAACCTGTTGAGGCATGTTGATTATAATCAAGTTGATGGCGTCTGAAATGCAACTTTTAAATTCATCAAGATCTTTTGGAAGGAGAGGTACATAAATATTGCTTTTTATGTAACCCCAAAGCAAAAATCATAGATTTTAAGGTCCGGTAAGATTCGCGCTTTTCGAAACGGAACATATAAAACTCTTTTTGTTGCTCGGTCGACATTTCGATAATGAATAATTAAATCACGTCACTCGGCTAAAGTGCACTTTATCGCAACTTATCGGTAACCGATAAAAACTCGATAACCTCACCATTTCAAATTGTCGGTGCTCTGTTTACCACAAATTACAGGAACAATATTTACGTGTAATCTACTAAAATCGGATGGATCATTTTGAAACACCCTGTATATTGTGTGTATGGGAACCTTAGAATCTACAACTTTACTACTAAACTGCATCGCACTACTATTATTTGACATAGTGTTATAGCAGGTTGCCGTTTGGTAAACATTTCCATTTATCCTCGACATACTGGACGAAATATGATAATGAACTCGTATATACCAATCTAAATACATATAACTTACTACATATATATATATATGTATACACGTTCAACGCGAACTATCGTTAGGTAGGTATGTAGAGGCGGTTTATTTACCTATAGCCTATAGCTATAATATTCGAATCGATTAGTGCATAATATTATAATATCGTATCATATATTATAAATATAGCTATATTTTCAAGGTGGAGATTAAAGAGATATCTCCACTTTGGTCTTATTATTATTATTATTTTTTTTTGGTCTGTTATTTACGACGTGTGACTTGCGAAATTTTTTAAAATTGTATTCTAATTTCTATTTAATCTTTGATCCGAAATACAAAATTATTACCCGTTAATCCGCCTCTGGACAACTGTTCAGCACCGGCTTGATGAAAAATGCGCCTATAAAGGTAATAATTATTTTATCGCCACCCCAGTAAGCTAATTATTTCCCACGGGACCTCTGCCTTCATATTGCTTTTAGATTCTCAATGAAGCGAGGAATGTATTGGTTTTACATTTATGTGTGATTTTTTTTTTATATGTCTGTAAACAACATTTCTACCAAAAATTGTGCTCCGATTAAGACTCTATAGGAACTTTTTTGTATAGCCTTATTGATCTAGTTTGTGTGTAAGTGAGATATAAACTACTGATTTTCCTTGAAAATTAGGAGAAAAATACGCTGCTCAGAATCGTTTTTCGTTCGCAATAGTTAATCGTTGCGTATACAGATACTTATAATTACTATATAATATATCCTTTTGCTTCCAACTTTCCTCCTAAAACAGTGGATCAATCCACCACACTAGCTCCAACAGATCTAGCTCTGTTTGTATAATTATTATTATATAGATAGGCATGATGATGGTAACAACTGCGGGTCACAGACCATAGTCTATATACGATTATTATATTATTATCATGTACGCTCACATATTATTAGATACCTGTACATTATACGGCTCGGAATGAACGAGTGCGTATATTATAGGTACAGGATATATAGATACCTATATGAATAACAAAATAATATAATAATGGATACCGAAGGTCATCAAAATGCCACACCTAACGCGCGGCGGATCGTTTTGACATTCCAGAACGTTTTTCACTATATATATTATTATTATTTTATTATTATTATTATTATTATTATTATTATTATTATTGGGTATTATTATAATACGCGTCGCCTGCAACATGAATGCGAGTATATAATATTATAGGTATATAGGTACACTGTACACGTACACACGGCGACGACGACGATTACGATATAATAATATAATGTATATGTATAGGTATATTTATTATTAATTAAAAAAAATAAAAAATAATCACGATTATATATAATATTATTCACCGCGCGATCTGTGCTATTAGGTCCAACATCACGTTTTGCATAAATAACGTATGTAAATTATTATAATATTGTCGCGACTCTTTGTTTATTTGTACATATTTTACATAATCCAACGATAAAACCGCGCTAGCTAGTGGTGCAACTAGCGGGTAGTTTGTTAAAATGAGACTTTAGGGAGCCCTAGCTTCTCCCACTGTCCCCGAATGACAAGCAATACAAAGTGCCGACCCTAAACCTGTATAATATACCTAGTGTTATTATGTTTTTTTTTTTTTTTTTTTTGTTCACGTTTTACAATATTTGAATATTAAATCAGCATAAAGGAAATTTAAAAATTGGCGAAAGCAGGGATGACTTTTCAAGGATGTTGTTTAAATTATCAGTATGGCACCCCGATTTTTATTTGACTTGATTTATACGGTTCCATGTGTGTCATAGTTACCAACAAAGCTTATAGATTGATTTTAGACGGTGAAAGAGGAAGGAGGAACCGGGCTTTAATTCAAATTAGTAAATTATTGCGCCTATTTTAAATATTATTAATTATTATCCATTATACACGGAGAAAACCATGCGTCTAGAAATGTAAATGTATACGAAAAACCTTATAACACGGAATATATAGGAAAAAGCCAAGAGGCGACTTTGATATAGACAACGTAGTCATTATTCTGAAAGATGAGGTCAATTGCAAGATAAATCATTACAGTAAACAAATCGGTCGGAAAACTCGACGAGAAATATTCGCTGGCATTCAGGCAGGTACCGTTAAAGTCTCCGGACGAACTTGTGGCGCGGCGTGCCACAGCTGTTCCCCGTGCATATTGCATTGCGATATTTGACCGATTTCGGCATCGCGGATAAATATTATGGACGGCGGACGGGCGATTTCGATTATTATATTTACTCCGTAGGTATACTTGTAATACAGGTACCTAAGTAGATACGACGGTGACTAAGAGGTGTATAATTTTGTAGGTATCTGTGATATTTCGCTGGTCTTGGCGGTGAAAGGAATATTATATTATTTTATGTTGCAATCTCCTAATAGCCGCTGTAGCATAGGTACCTATAATAATACTGCTGCAGACGTATATATCTACCCGTATTTAGTTCATTGACACAAAACGAATATTTTTATAATCTAGGTAATATTACGCCGTACGATACCTATTCTAACACATATTATATTTAAAAAAATATAGGTAATAATATTGTTTTAATACGGATTCCCGACTGAAACCAGCGGCGATCGATTCTATATACTCTTACCTAAGTCAAATATACCTATATTATACATAAATTATATATTATTATATTAGAATAGGTGCCAATAATTAGATGTTAGACAATGTCTAAACGATGTCGTGAAAAAAAAAAAATAATAATAAAAAAAATTAAACACAAAAATATTACACTCCGGCGTTATAATATACAGCCACGATTCTATAGCTATGTGCTATATACGTATATAATACGTACAGCGTACAAAATAATATTACACCGCGACGTGATGCGTGTACCACTGGGGGGTTCCTGTACCTACGACATAATATCGTTCGTACAATATTGCGGCGTAAGTAGTAAAATACAACGCAGCATATAGTAGGTAATATGACGGTTTTTCTTGGATGAATATACGTACCTTGAGGACGAGCCGCAATGTTGAAACGAACATAATAACAACGCGCTGTCCCGCAATGTTATGATGGATTATATATGTGTGTGTGTGTGTGTGTGTGTGTATAAGTCGAGTGCCTAGGTATGTATAGGTATTATTATTCCGTCTGCGGAGCGAAGAGTTCACGGGTGCAGCATCCGGCGACGGACAAACGACTGCACTGGATTAGTGCTACCGTCGAAACAACGGTCTGCGGCTGTTTTCCACGCCTATGTAGCTCGTGACGTCACCGACAAATTCGCGACACTATTATTTTCACGGTTTTTTTTTTTATTTTTATTATTCTCGACGGAGAGTGAGAGAGATCGAGAGAAAGAGAGAGAGAGAGAGAGAGAAATAGTTTATACTAATAATAATAGACGTACACCACCTGTTGGCGGGCAGAAGGGGGAGGGGGAAGAGGGGAACAGATAAAAAAAAAAAATAAAAAATAAAATCGACAAAACGAAATGTATTTCCGTTTTATATAACACGAGCGTGTATATATATAATAATAATATATAGGTACGTATACGATACGGTAAGACGATTGTTATAACCGCGTATAACGCGCGACGTTCGACGACTGAACGGTCTCTGAAAAGAGAAATACACACGGCGACGGCGGAGAAAACACAAAAACGCAAAAAAAAAAAAAAACCAAATGCGAAACGACTTGTCTGCGTGCGTGTGTGCGAGCGCGCGCGCGCGTTGCAGTTGTTGTGAAAGCCACGGCGCGCGTGTGTATACGGTCGGATGTGGCTCTGCGGGTAAGTATAATAATAACAATATTATTACATCGCGTATAGTGCCACGGGTAGGCAGACAGGACAGGCGGACAGGTGGACAGGACAGGCGGACGGGTATACATAGGTACGTACCCGTATAATAATACGAGCGGCCGAGAACAGATGCCGGCCGTCTATGGCCTATCCCGGCGGTTCTCAAAATGCGCGTGTGTGTGTGATGCCGCGCGGAACGTTAACGATAGTAATATTATAAGGGTGTCGCACACGGCTGCGACGCCCGCGAGGGTTCGACGAATCAGGACGCGGCACACCGAGCGCGCGTTTTCGAATAAGATCGTAGGGACAAGGGGAGGGTTGGTCGAGTTAGCGAGTCGGTTCGGATAGTGCCGCGGCTGCGGCAGTCGCGGTATCCCGTGAACACATTTCGTTGCGGCCCGGTGTGCATTCTGAAGTCGAAAATGGAATTTGTCCGGAAACGCGATGCCGTATTGAAAACTATCTGTCTGGTTTCTCGTAAATCCGTAAATATTCCGAAACTTCATTTAAAAAAAGTATTTTCACTGAAAAACGTATCCAGTCGGTGTGTGGCGGCGGGTGGGCGGCTGTTTAACCCCCCGCGTTGCTTTTCTTTTGCCGCGAGCAAGGTTAAAAAGGTTGTAGACCCCATAAATGGAGGTCCGCCAATGACAAGGGAACCATTGATTGCGCGACTGCCAGCTAGTGTACAATTTTCGAAATCCCCGTGCGAGAACCGTCGAGTCATTGCAAGTCGGCGCGGACGCAAATTTGTCGGGTATAATAGTTGCCGGTACCTACGTATTATTTTTCTAAATGGCGCCGCCGCTCAAGCGTTTTGGGAACCAACGGCCACCGTACCGTATTATACCTATACGGGATAGTACACTCACTATTATTACACATACCTGGCGGCGGCACGGCCGCGCGTATTACAATGCCCGCGCGTATAATACACGTACAATAATAATATATAATAATATATAGGTATATTATTATTATATACCGTGTAGGTATTACGTTATACAGAGTGCGCTATTACAATGGCGTAGTCGCCGCGGTTATACCGCGCGCGCAGCTGTAGCCTACCTAATGTAATATAATAATGCTATGGCTGCGTGCCTCGTCCCCGTACAGCGCGGAGGGTCATGACTGCGACTGCGGCGGCGGCGGCGTCGTCGCCGTGCCGAGTGGCGTACAGCGCGACGCAACGATCGACTTGCAGCCGTTTTAATAAAATATTATTGTATACTAATTCCGTATTTCGATTTCGGTAGGTTAGGTATATTTTATTCGAAAAACGAACAGTACCTGTATTTACGCATTACAAAATACCTAGATAATGCGTGGGTAAATTGGAACCATTTGCCTGGCCAAAAATATGTTTTAAACAAATTAAAAAATTAATTTTTTCCATGTGATCAAGATTACCGAAAAATCAACATAGAATACCAACGGCATTTGCAATGCCGTCCCAAGATTTTTCGGGATCACACCCAAAAATTAATGCGACGAAAAAAATCCCCTCCCCCCCCAGGCCCCTCTGAACGGCCATTCTGAACTGGGCATTTTTTTTTAAAATTGTTTAGATAATTTGTCGGGAATCTATACAAATGTTTCAAACACAAAAGACCCAAAGCACCACAGGGCGACAAATCCACATCTTTTAACATACGATCTGACGATGTGAACAATCTGGAGTATTTTCGATAAAATATTTATTTTCTCTGATAAACTATTTTTAAAAAAGGGTTCCGAGAAAAATAATTTTAGTAAAAATTATAGCTTCTTCGCTATACGCTAGATCTTTATCTAAAAGTCTAAAACACGTAACAAAAATCTAGTACCTCTTACCACTAATTTTCAAGAAATACTACTTTTTGAATATTAATTGGTCTTAACAATACAAATTATTACGAAAAATTCGTAAAAAAAATCTAAAATTACCCTTAAATCTCTGGTTGTGCCCCTGTATCAGTATAATATTGCGAATTATTATCACGATCAATTTGCGATTCAATGCATATAGATACCACCCCAACCCTTTCTCCCAAATGGTGTTTTTAGAATATTCTAAATCTTCAATAACAAATTATATAAATATAAATAATTTTCAATAATGTATAATACGAGATACATTCAAGGGTCTACACTGGATATTTCGAAAAAGTGATTACTGTTTATTTACTTTTTTCACTTATGAAAGAATATCTCTAAAATGTTACATTTTCGTTATTTTTGTCATCTTTATTTTTTGAGATGAACCATTTCACACTTTTGATTTTTGTACAGCCACCTATGTTCATAATTTCATAAACAGATGATGTTTTAGTTCAAATAAATTAATTTTGGTGTTAAAAATGTTAATTTTGGTCAACGGCTGCTATTTGAAAATTAATTCTATATAGCTGTTCCATCTCCAGAAATTAAAATGATAAAAAAAAAGGGATTCTGAAAATAATAAATATTTTTCGAGAAATATCGAGTGTAGACACTTACATGAATCACTTGGTATTCATAACTATACATTTACATAAAATGCAACATCCTATTGATTTTTAATTATTTTGATGTATAATTAAATGATCGCTTTAAAAAATACCAGTAAGTTCCTAACGTATGTATATTTTTATAATAAATTTCAAGGGTGCCAAATCAACAGGTTGAAAAATCGACTATACGAGTATTTACTGGGTGGGGTTTGGGAATCTATTAAATTGCAATATTTGCACTCCTCAGGAGTTTTTTTTTTTCAATTTTCTCGAATTTGACTATAAAAACAGATTTGTATTCCTTCTCTGATGGGTTATATAATTAGGTAGGTGCCAACATTATTTTAATGTTCTATAGTACGTCAATAATATTATATCGGTTTATCGAACGGTCTGGTGGTTATGTAGTCCGTATAAAATAGGTATACCTATTGGTGAACACCAGTATAAGTACTCGTAATTATATTATTGCATCCCTCGCGGTCTAGTTTCATTACTGGACCAACTACCTATGCATTGGTTAATTAAACTAGGAAAATGCAGACGTTAATAGCAGATAATTGTAGAAAAATTAATGAAATTTGTCTCCGTCATGGTAATATGCATTTTTATTGAGATCACTAATAATAAGTAGGGTGTTGCGTATTTTTGGGATTTTGTTGATGAGGGAGGGGTAGGAAGGGGCAAGTTACTGATTTGAAAATTTAGTCGCGCAATAGTATAATACAAGTAAGAAAAAGAAATGCTGATACTGGGGATGAGTGCAGTCATGTACCCACATATGCCATTGTTATTTTTTTATACATTTCCATTGGAGGGAAGTTCGGAAGATAGGATTTATTAAGTTATATAATTTATATTCGTAAACAACTATAAATTATTGCTAATGAAAAACGATTGGAAGCAAATTTGTGTTATACATGTTTTAAATAGCCGTAATATTTATAATTTTCATCAACATTTTATATTGAAATTCTTATAAAAATAAAATACCACATTAAACTCAATTTTAGATTCTGAGTAAAGCGAAGAACCTTATTGTTTTACAATGATGTTTATTTTATTTTTTTATCTGTACGCAACTTTTTTACCAGAAATCTTGATCCGATTTTTAAGTGTAGCACCTTTTGTAAAAGAAAATCGAAGTAGGAAGGTACTTTAATTAAGGAGGCCATTTTGCGATTTTCTCAAGATTTTTCTCATGAAATGTAAAAAACCGAAAATAAAACTGAGGAAAAACGGGAAAATGTACGAAATATATTACTAAGATATTACGATTTTTTTTTTCTGTGCACAACTTTTTTACAAGCAATTTGGCTCTGGTTTATGACAGCAATTTTTCTGAAAGGAAATTTGACGGAAAAGACACTTTAAAGAGGTTATTTTTCGATTTTCTCAAGAGTTCTCCCAGCAAATGTGAAAAACGGGGAAAAATTTGGGAAAACCGGGAAAATTGGTACAATATTAAACAAATATTTTTAATGAAAATATATAGAGCCTATTTAATTATTTTACTATAATAGTATAACATACATATTGTTGACAAAGCATCACTATCAACTGGACTCTGTTCAGAATCGTTTTTTCGTTAGCAATGGTTTATCGTTGTTTACAGATATACATTAAATTACCTATAACAGTGGCTGCACCCGTCCTCATTATCCTAGGGCGTCATTTTTCTTTTTTGTACACTTATATTAAACTTCCTGTTAAATTGTCAAGCATTTCTGTTTAGTCTAACAATTTTATCCACAGAGTAGGATTAAAATGTTCATAAAAAGCTCAAAAATGGCTCAAATGTTTTTAACATTTTACCACGTTTAAAAAAAACCAATTATAAGTTTTCTATCAAAATTTCAAGACGCTGATATTTTTAATTGAAATACAATAAAAACAAAATTGAAAATAATAAAACTATTATTTTCGAAAATTTCCCCATTCTTTCTACGTTTTTTAGTTCGGTTTTGCTTATTTATTAAAAAAAAACTACAAGGAAAGCAAAAACCAAAAAAAAAGCATTCATATTCACCAATTAGATTCAAATGCAATAAAAAGCATCTCATATTGCTATTTTTTTATTGGACTAATATTTCTGGTGGAAAACATAAAACAGGGAAAATTTAAAATAAAAGTATCATGTAAATATTTGTCTATTTATTCCTACATTTTTTCTCAGTTTTTCCAATTATTATGAAAACGTACCAACTAGATAAAATTGTCTATCGTAAAAAATGATAAAAGAGCAATAAACACGACTATATAATCTTAGTATTCTTATCATTTTACCGAGCTACGCTCAGAATATTTTTTTAATTACAATAATTTATGGTTGATTTCTGTGTATTTACTTGAATTATCATCCCATATCTACAACCTACGGTATGAAAACTATCTGGCTTAAAATATCCAAACATACCAAGTATGATATTTAGTTATTGCTATAACACTTTTACTCGCATTATTACAATTTTTTTTTTTTATATGGTGCGTAATAATAAGTCATAACGTATAGGTACCTAAACTACTTATAACCTATAACCTACCTATGAGATTTATATTATACATTATTCGACATGGAATTTGTTAGTCTGTGGCTCCTTTCTATAGACCTTAACCCCGAAGAAAACTATGTCTCCTACTCGCTACTCGTAATCGTATTATTATTTTTTTGTTTAATGTATATATAAGTTTATGCGTGTTAAAGATAAACGATAAAATAAACCTACATATTAGTATTATTATTTTTGTTCGATAAATCATATAACGCCCGTGGTTGTGGTTATGTGTGGAACATAATATTACACGAGTATATTACCTACATATATTGGTATGCGGTGTAGGTATAGCCTTGTAATTCCGATTTCAGCGTATCTTCACATTCTGATCGTCCATATAATACCCATGATAACAAAATATAATAGGCACCTAATTATTTGGTGGACGGTAGATCAGGCTTTTGAAAATAGAATTTTATATTATTAGTGTTGTAGTGCTCGAATGGGGAGTGGGATCTGAACTATTTTTAATTTTCTTTTAGCGTCCCCTTATAAATTATTTTTACTGGGTTTGATAGACGGTACTTATAATATGTTTCTTAAAAAAAAATACGAATCAACTCGGATAAATGTTCTTTTTAGAATTGTTCGTTCAGTGGTTACCTATACTGATTATAGGGTAGGCATGGAAATCAAAGCGACCCTTAAAGTAGCTAATTTCTTGCAAAAATTAATTGCTTTTACTAATGTAAAATTAATGTAAGTGTATGCCCTTAAGAGAGGTTAGAGAGGAGAACATGAAAAACCGCGGGTATTTTACTTTCATAAAATAAATAATGTCAATACAATCTACAGAGACGACACGCTCGTGAGTCGTCTTGACGAAATATAATAATTCGTTGGCATTTTACAAATTTTAATTTAACTAAAGCTATTAAAAAGAAAAGAAACAAACGAATTTTCACACAAAAGAAACTGTGTAATAGGTATTTCAAGATGAAAAAAAATACGTGAAAATATTATTATAATCGAGACCGTTTTCTAGTAATTAAAGTGGGGAGGACGCAGACCCCTTACCTTTGGCCAGTAGTGTTCCCATCAACTTTTTTGAGAATACCTATATACTATAATATCTATATCATGTTCCTTGCATGAGATATATGTATTTGTATAACTTTCGTATGGTTTATTAGTAAGTGCCTACCTACCTACTGTTTATAAGAAAATAGAACTCAAACAATATGAAAATTAAATTTAAATTATCAAAATAAAACAAAACAAATGGAAAATTTAAATTATATAACAGTTATTTGTGCGAAAAATGTTAGAATATATGATATAGGTCGGTACACCATAAAGGTAAAGTTGATGTCTATTATTTTATAATTAAGTTGATCAGATATGGTTGTATAGGTTCATTTTCCTTAAGAAGATGATCATATTTGCGATATTCTCGGAGTTGCGTCCCAAAAGAAGTATTATTTTTTTGACCGGTTTCAAATTAAAAATTCATCAACAAAATATATATCACAGTCAAAATGTAAAACACGACTGAATATAAAAAATTAAATGAAGGAATACATAGAAAAAAAAAAATTATACAAATTGGTCGATTTACATAGAATATAAAAATAATTTATTTTAAAAGAAAGAGTATTTAAAATTAGTTATTATTAAATATAGATATTTTAATAAATAGAAATTATTTGGTTATTATTTATTATCTAAAATGAATTGATAGATATATGATATTATTTTTGAAATCGGTTTGAACATTTAAAATATTATCAAAATTATTTATTTTTTATTTCATCGTGCATGTGTAATTCTTCTAAAACTGAATTAATGTAAATGTTATTTTAGGTGTTTAATATTTCTAAGTCTGTATTAATATCAAAACTTATATTATGGTTATATTCTAAAACGAAATTTGAATTAGAGGCAGTATTTCTTAATTTTATTTCAGAAATGTGTTCTTTACATCTTATTTTAAAATTTCTATTTGTCTTACATATATATAATTTATTATACAATTACATTTAAGTTTATATATACCAACATTTTCAAAAGAAGGGGGATTTTTTGTAAAATTTTTAGTTCTATTGTTTATATGTTTGATTAAATCATTATTAGTCTTAAAAGCGATTTTTACATTATTTATATTATTGTTCAGAATTTTAGCGAATTCGTAAGACATACTATTTTGATATTTCATACTAAAATAGTTAACAACATTATTTGGTAAATTGTGTATTATTTTTTCTTTAATACTTTTATGAATTTTTTGAATAATACCTATTTAAATTTAAATTATTTCTATGGACTATATTATAGATAATATTGAGCTCATGTTGATAATAATTATTAATTATATTTATTTAATAAAATATGTTCAAAGCCTATAGGAATACTGAATTAAAAAATGATATTTTTGACGTTTATAATTTTTTTTTTTTTTTTTATGAACACTTTTTCTAACAGAAAGCTTACTCCGATTATCGAGTATAGCACCTTTTCTAGAAAGGAAATGTTTTCTGGGTGGTACTTTAAAGAGATCATTTTTTGAAGTTATTGTTAATATTTAAGATAATAAGAAAATCTGGTGCTTTAGGTTAGACAAGATTGAAAGATTAAAAATAAAGTTTGTCATTGGCAACCGTTTCTATTTATTTTTTGTTATTAGGTTTTATTATTTTAATCTTTTTTAAACAATCATTGTTGTTATGGAAATGTTCATTGTTATAATTATTTTATCATAATATGAGATATATATTGTTGACGAAGCAAAATTATCAACTGAACTCCGCTCAGAATCGTTTATCGTTGCTTACAAATATATATTAAATTCCCGTCTGTATCCTATATTACCAACTTCCCACCCACAAAAGTAGCCAGTGGCGTGGTAAAAGAGGTATTATGACGCCAGGGCGTCATGGTAAAAAAAATTGGGGGGGATGGGCGTGTGAGTGGGTGGGTGATTACATTAAGGTAAGCAATAGTATAACACAATAATTATATTTAGTTATAACAATTATATATTTTATACTATATTTAGGGGGTTAAGGGTGGATATGCACTGAAATTTATGCTGTGCACCATAGCTTATAAATGTTCACCACGCAACTGACAGTAGCTGCGCCCACGTGCGAAGTACCTATGTCCATCCTTGTTTACTTTAATAATTAGGGATAAAAAATAATTTTCCTTTTACCAGATAAATAAAAACAAATTAAAAGAAATAATTTTTAATATTTTAAAACACACTTTGTAATACGTTTTACAAATGTTTATTTTTACAATTACACATTTTCCTAATATATATTATTATTCTAACCGTTGTTTTGTTGGTATCATAATAATAGGTAAATCATCATAAACATTTTGTCATCTGTTCTATTTTTTTTTTTTTTTACTTGAGGAATGATCACATCGTTTTTTGTACAACACTCAACTTTATCATTATACACTTTTTTGAAATTGAAAATGCTATTTATAATGTAAGTTAGATCAAATTTCCGATTTCACAGGTAGTGCCTGTGCATGACATGCACGACCCGGAGACACGCCTACGTGTATGACACTAAAATTCAAATTGTTAACATGGCTATGATCAGAAATCAGTTCATGATATTAGAATATAATATATTATAGGTAAAAACAGTTATATTAAACTTCTAATAATAGAATAAAATGCTTTATAGCTGGTAAAATATTTTCACATTAATTCATAAAGATTCTAAAGTTATAATATTATTATATACATTTTTTTTTACATTATAAAGATCATTATTTATACATTTATTAAGTCATTTAATAGGAGATAGTGGTTAGGTACCCACAAAGCAAAATCTAAATTTTAAACTGTTGAAAATCTAGAAAAATGTTATGAATATATTTGATATAATTAATAATGGAAAAGTGTCTTCTAAGAAAATAAAAAGATATGATACTTGGGATGAGAGCGGCCACTGTTGAAAGTGAGAAATTGAAAAGGTAGGATACATAAGGTTTTCATTTATATCTGTAAGTGACGATAAACCATTACTTGACGAAAGACAATTCCGAACGCAGTTCGATAATACATAATTTGATGTATTTATGGATATAAATTGTAAAGTAAGAGTGCACATCTTGCCCACTCCAAATATAACTTCACTCAGAATTGAATACTGTAATAGACAAATTCTGAAGAATTTTAATTTATTTAGAATGGTATTAGGAATAATATTACAATAATTAGAAACCGGATTTATATGGTATAACATCATCATAAAACCAATACATTCCTGTTCAGAATCTAAAATACAAAAATAATCCAGACCATTATTAGATTTAAATCCCAGATTATGTGCTTTGAACAACAACTACTTTGAATTTACAAGTATATTTTACCAAAAAACAGAGAAAAGTATGAATCAAAAGATTTTATTTCATTATTTACTAATATCCCATGCATATATAGGATGATCAATATTTAACAAGACATTCATATACTATGTTTACATGGTAATGTTAAACCAGGTTTGAATCTACAAATATAAATATTCTTACTTCTAGTTTGAATTATTTTATTGACCAACAATAAATACAATTATCCATGGATTTAAAACTATTTTAACATCACCATGTAAACATTGACTAATTAATTAATTATATTGAAAAGTACCAACTTCTTTTAGAACTTGGTTTTTAGAAAAATTAAGAAACAAGCAACTCTAAAATATTACATCTCCTTTATTTTTTATCACCTATATTTTTGTGGGTGAAACAACTATTTTTGATTTTCAAATGGCAAACTATAAACAAATCTAATAATAAAATTTTTAAAAGAATTGCACAAAATTCCAAAAAAAATTGATACTTTCCTTGGTAAAGAGTCTTATCAAGATTGATTACCTAGAATATAATTCAGTTTTATTTGGTTTATTATTTAAAGTGCATTTTTTTTATTGGTGAATATTTACTAAGTTAACCCAGAACTTAAACTATACCATAGTATTGATGTGTATATACATAATTTGTTTTTTAGTACATTTTTAACAATAACATTAATTTAATAATTATTTAAATCTTTATAAATTGTTACTATTATAGGTTGTTTCCAGTAGTTAATGAACATTTATTCATTATGCATTGTAGCATAATAACATTTTATTCTTATCATTTTAAAACACATACAAATGCAGTAACTATTTATATTAATACATTTATCTTTTAAAAATAATAATTAACAACTTTATTATTTGTGAAGAATTATTTATTTTTTCTTTATATGGTTCTCATAGCCCCTTAAAAATTTGACTGGAATTTTGTATTGATCTGAAAAAATAATAATGCAAATTAATTGTAAAGTGAACAAGAAAAATCATTCATTATGAACAAAAGTATTAAATTAATAAGTTCTTATAAAATATTATATTGAAAAAAAAAAATACCTTACTTAAAACATATTTATGATTGGCACAGATGATTTTACAAATGTCTATGTTTATTAGGAGGACACAATACACCCATAATTTGAGTGTAAAAACATAGTTGTGGCATAACAGAATTATTAATAATTTGGTAGATTAACAATTTTTCTTTTTCTTTTTTTGTTTTAGTACCGTAGTGGTTTCATTTTTTAGCTGGTACAAAAAAATTTAAAAATATTCATTTTTAAAGTTTGTTACCATTTCAAGTTTTTTGTTTATGAATATAAAATTATTGAGATAAGTTATTGGAAAATGGAAACAGTCACAGACAATTATCTTTTTAATAAAAAACAAAAAAAATGTTTGATTTATTATAATTATTAAAAGAATGGTTTTTTTTGTGTAAAAACGTTGATAAATAATTATTTGCATGCAGCTTTGGGTATTACCTCTTCTTAATATACAAAATAACAATATTAACAATGGAATACACAGGAGTGTGGTAGTGGTGGGTGGTGATGGGCATTTTTTTTTATAATTTAAACATGAATTTTAACTATGAACCTCTAGTTTATGATGATGAATGTAATATATAGTTTGCAAGTGCCTATTGAAAACAAAATATCTCACTAAAAATATGTATTGTGGTGATAACTAATAAATGATACCAAAAACACTAACTATAGATGGTGACAAGAAAACTGGCCCTTGAGGGTCAGGAAATTAGTGACATGTCAGTAGCATATAAATGCTTCCAAAGTTAGATTATAATGTTAAAATAATCAATGTTTTCAAAACTCTAAAAAGATAATATATTCTTGAAAAACAACAAAGAAAATTTCATATTCCTATAATATAAAAATATTAAAAACAATGTGCCTACATTATTAATTACACAATTTGATTTTAATATTTATTGAGCTTTATGATTTGATTTTAGAAGGACTTGAAGAAATTAGCCAATGGATAGATTTAGATATTTGTATTGAAAACTAAAGAACTCTTAATTGCTATTCAATAGTCAGAATTTGTAATACATACTAATAACTACCCATATTTTTGGAAAAGTATTTTCAATTATTAAGCCCCTTAGTCTTTAATTACAAACTAAAAATATTGATTTAGATTTCAGTGATCCAAGGAACAAATCATTTAAAGGATTTTTAAATGAGTTCGAGAAAATTTAAAAGTGGAATAAAAATAAAAATTTAGATATTGATTTTTATAAATTAAATAGAAACAAAATAGAAAAGTAAATAAAAATATTAGATCAGAAGACTCCTACAGATCCAATGTGTACATACCATTCTTTGACAATACATATAACTAGAAAATAGATTTTTAAAACATTGTGAATTACTACAATTTCTTCACTATCTTATTTCAACATATAAAGTTCATTAAGTTTAGGTTAGGCTCAAGATAATTAACCATTAACTGGTAAAGACAATGGTTTTAATTATTTTTCAATTTAATTCCTAACAAGTTCATTATTTATTTACAGGTCAAGAAACAAACAAAAAGGTCAGCTCAATGAATTTTTATGCTCATCATTTGATGATTCATTGAAATGAGGAAAATTACATACTTAAATACTACAAATTGTGTATAAGATTCAATTGGATACTCAACAAATAGACTGATTTTTAGGCTATTTTTTGTAAAATGGTCTACATTGTCCAGAGAAAGTTTATAGCTATTGAAACCAATCCTTTTAAATTTGATTTGTATGTATTTTGGTACAAAAATCAAATTATTTTTATTGATTTATGGGTTACCTAGATTACACTTTTAGTCTGGAGAAGCTGGACTACACATTTTTCACATTTTTTTTTTCAATATGGCAGGTGGCAGTTAGTATTAATATAAAATTGTATTATTATTTATTATATATACTGATATATTTTAAGATATGTACATTATACAAGTGTATTTTCCAACAACATGCTGCAATGATGAGGAAATCGATATTATGTATGAACAACTTGAAGAATAGCAAATAATAACCAACATTTAATCTAATGTACTTATTATGGGAGATTTCAATGCTTCAAAAGACAGGGCATGAATGTAGTAAATTTGGTTTGGGCTTAGATCATATACTATGGATAGAGCGACTACATTATAAACTGTCTCAAGGGGACTGATATTTATTGGGATGATTGTATATGATTTGTTATGCTATATTATCAATTGATAAGTTATAATCACACTATCACAATATTAATGATTTGATTATTTGGTTTTTTTTTCATTTTTTTGAAATTTATAGTTAATACTAATTATTAATAGTTAGATTTAATCCATAGTAAATAAGTACATGTTATGAGTGTTGTGCATACAGCTGTAACAATGTTGATGGAGGGGACCAAAATATTAAGTAATTTAAGTAAAAAGTTCAATATTTAATAAACAATCTATTATTTACAATTTTACTTATTTTCTTTTAAAGATTTCATTTAAACAAAATGAAACAAAAATAATGACGAAATACTGTTCAAAGAAAATATTTTATAGTGACCAAATACAGACTGTGCATTGCATATTTTAATTATAGTGATTTTGTTGAAGCCACAGAATCAATAATTTTGAAACAAAATGCAATTCCCAGCATTTTTAATAACTCTACCACTCCTACTAAAAAATATAGAGGAAAAAAATGAGAAACTTTCTCTTTCTCGGTTATAACTTAGAATAATAAAATAAATAATAATAATATTCTGCTTGGTATATTAACCAGTAATCACTTACCTACATAAGTGTTAATACTAATTAAACATTTTTATAGAACTAACATTTTTAAATCAAATAGATACTTCAATTGACTTGATATATTATAAACCCAGCAAGTAAAAGTTTGAAAAATTGTAATTAATTTAATATATTTTGTATATTATCAATGCTAGTCTTTCAGCACATACATATTCTGTATATATTTTATATATTTATATATTCTGTGCTTTTGTATGGTTGATATTCAAATAAATAATTATACTTAAAAATAACATATATTTATCATGTTTTCTTTACATACAGTGCATTTATACTAAGAGGTACAACTAAATATTTCAGTTGGATAACCTAGGATTGAAATGAAATTTTCAGGGAATGGTAGGAAGCACCCAAATACACATTTTCAGATAAATTTCAAATGTTTAACCCTTTTGGTACACGCAATACAACTTACTTTTTTTTAAATAGAAACACTATTTTTTTTTCTTCAGATTTGGATAGAGTATTTTTTTTAAAACAATTTTTGAAAACAAAGTTTTTTTCTTATTACGAAATTGGAAAAGTTATAGTATGTTGAAATTTAATATTGATTAATAATCTGTAATTGATGAAATTTTAACTATGTTCAACTTTTATATTAGAATATGATGATATCTCCAATATTGTGAAATAGCTGTTTTTAGACAAGATAAGACACAAATAAAAAGTTATTCAGTTATTTTTACGGGAGCATTTAAAAAATATTGTTTACATTAATCCTCCTAATAATGTCCAAAATTTAAAAAACAAATTACGAGTAGCATATAATAATTTAATAGAAGACCAAATAAACACTGCCACATTAAGAGAATTTTTAAACCATTTGGAATCATGTTTAGAAACTTTGAACAATTTATTTGATAAAACCATAGTTGCAAATAAATAAATCTTAATTTTAAATTCATAGTGAATACATAAAGACATAAATACATTTTTATAATTTTCAATACCTTTGGTTTGTTTCGGATGAATAAATGAAAAAAATTAAGTAAATTACAAAAACAAAAAATGTTTATTTGTGTCTTATATTTATCTATAAACAGGTATTTCAAAACATCAGAGATATCATTTCGATTTTTTAGTATAAGTTGAACATAGTTAAAATTTCTTCGTTATCAGATAATCCAGAAATATTAAATTTCAACATATTATAACCTTCTTAATTTTATAATTAGAAAAAAAACTTTTTTTACAAAAATTGTTTAAAAAACTACCAAATCTATAGCAAAAAAATGGTGTTGCGATTTAAAAAAAAGTAAGTTGTATTGCGCGTACCATAAGGGTTAAAAATTTGAAATTTGTCTAAAAATGTGTATTTGGGTACTCCCTATCATTCCCAGAAAATTTTATTTCAATACGAGGTAATCCAACTGAAATATTTAGTGGTACTTCTCATCCTGAACACACTGTATATATATATAATTATAATAATAATAATAAAGTTTGTTCTGGTTTATTACACTTCCTCCAGCTCCCCCATATCAAATTCCTGCTGATACTAAATATTGTATTAAACAATCAAAACATACAATTTTTTTTTTTTTATAAGTATCAATAGTTTGTAATACAGCATTGTGATAGAATTATATAACATATGATTAAAATAATTAATTACTTTAAACATTCTTATGAATTACTCACCAGTCAATAATTTGTATACAAAAGGAACTTGTGAACCTTGAATTTGAACTTGTCTATTCTGCTCATTTGGAATATCATTAATTGTTGTACTAGCAGCTACTCCATGTTGACATTCTTTACTAAATTTGATAATATCAATACCATAAAGTTCCAAATTGTTAACTAGTGTTACCTGAAATGTTATACATTTTAAAATTACCTAATCAAAATTTGCTTTAATTGTAAGTATTACTGACTTTTTTATTTCCACTCCGATTATTGACAGTCATTTCAATATGATTAATTTTTTTTTTTAATGATTTTTTTGTTTCAGTTGTTTCAACATTGAATACTGCTATTTCAGTTCGATACATAAGTTTTGTTATTTCTTCAATCAAATCCTTAATAGATATGAAAGTATTGTCTTTTCTCTGAGATAATATTTTCTTTAAGACATTATTTGTGTTCACTACACTAAAATAATACAAAATATTTATTTGTAATTTTCACATAATATAAATATTAAAATTATTGTAGTTTTTACAAATTCAAAATTATCACATTGATAATATAAAATAAATTGTACGATAGTTAAAAATATAACCATCATCTCGGTATTAATTTTAAAAAACAAAGCTGATAATAGTGATACTGCTGATGGGTGCTACTGTTGTAAAAGCGATGTTGGGAAGATAGAATACATAGTTATGTAATTTATATCTGATAAACTATTGCTAATGAAATATGATTCTGAGCAAAGTTTAGTTGTTCAAGTTTTGAAATGCCTTACTATTTACTATTTACTTCAAAATATTATAAACTACGTACTACAATAAACTTATTTATTTTTTTTTTATCACTAAGTACAACCTATAATGAACTTCATATTAAAATTTCAAATATTTCTATTTGGTCAAATAATTTTATTTACATGGTGCCCAAATATAAGCTATAGACAAAGCCAGTAAATATGGGGTGGTTTCTTTTTAAGTAAACTACTTTAATAACCAACTAGATCTAAAATGCAACAAAATAAGTCTCGTCATTTTATGATTGAAGCAAGATTTCTAGAGACAAAGTTGCTCACACAACATACAAAATAAAAAAACAGTAAAACCAATAGATTCTTTGCTATGCTCAAAATCTAAAATTAAATAAATTTCAAATTTCAATTATTACAAAATTGAATTAAATACTTACGAAGGGTTTGTACTGTCTTGCAACTGATATTTCTTGATATATTCAGTAACATATTTTCGAATAGATGGTACTGTTAATTTATCTCCTTTTCTAGGAAAAAAAATTATTAAGTTGTATAAAAATAAAATTACTAAAATTATTTACGCATTATCTACCAACCGACAAAGAAATTCTGAAAATATAGGATATAATCCTGGTGTCACTACATAAATTTCTTTTACAGGCGGAGAAAATTGATCTAGGTTTTCTTTTAATGCAGGATTGTCATCACTATTTAAGTCTTGAAGTTTGCTATTGCTTTGAATCACTTGAGTTATTTCAACAATACCATTACTACTGACATTAAGTTTTATCATTTGTTCTTTATCCAGTAATTGTAAAAATGAAGTTAACTTTTTGTAACTAGTTTTCTTGATATCTAATTCTGTTCCTTCTGGGCAAAACGACATAACATATTTTTTATAAAATGTACTGGCTAAAATTGGCAACATTTGTTTTTTAATAGAGTATTTTAATGCTTTTAATGAACATGTCATTAGTAATTCATCCATTTTATTAACAACAGTTTGTATATCTTCTGAATACATTTTTTTATCATTCAATTCAGGAGCATCATTAAATTCACGTTCCATTGTATAAATAACATCCGGAATAGATGATTTGATATGTGATTTAAAAAGTTCATCGTCATAATAATGTAACACTTTCAAACATTTATCTCTGCTTTTTTCACTATCTTTTATACTATTACCATCAATAGTCAAATATCCAATTGCAATAATTTTTTGACAAGAAATTGTGCATAAACTTACACATTGATCAACAGGCAATGAACTTAATATATGTTCATTATTTGCATCATTAGATCTTAACTCTTTTATTGTTAGTTCTGATGCAGATTTGAGTTGAGATTTTCCATCGTTATCTAATTTTAATCTGGGAAAGATATGAGGAAATGACCAGACCATAAACAAGGTTGGATAAAATTTGTTTTTAAATTCAAAAACTATTGCAACGTTTTGAGCACAATTTATCTTAACTATATCGTTTGTATGTGTTATTACTTTCAACTGAGTTAATTGCTTTTGATTTAAAAATGTGTCTAGTGTTTCGTTTGATAAGTTGAAATATTTGCAAATGGTAGCTTTTAATTTTTTCCTGAAAATAATAACAAAATCAACAACAATGACAAATAATTCCATTTTTATTTAATAAACGCTAAGTACTTACTGTTCAGCCCCTTTTATTGAAACACTTGATTTTATACGAAATTCGTTTTTAAACATAATGTCAGTTTATTATTATAAACAAATATTTACTACACTATTTTTTATATTTTTATTTACATACATATAAATAGTTTGGCGAATATAATATTACAATTCCGTAACATTTTTAAACCTATTTAACTAGATACCATACTACTATCTATGTCACGAAATAATAATAAATAAAAAAGTTATGATAGTTATAATCTGATAGATTAAAATTACCATTTAATTTTAAAAAAACTTAATACCATACAGGTAAAAACTACATCATAGAATTCGGATGTAAGCAATTAAACATTAAAAAATGATAATGGTTATCGATTTAGTGATATCATATCGTATAACTAATGTTAGAGTATATATGTTCATGGTTAGAGGTAGAACGTATATACCTAAAACACACAGACTGCCGTGTGATAAAATACTTTTTTTTTTATTTATTAATATAATTGTGTCAATACACCAAGTATTTTTACAATGTTACAATTAATTTTTTTTTTTTTTAAATTATAATATTATATTATTATATAATTAATTATGTAATGTATAAAATACTTTGGCCCACTTTGAACGTGAAATGGTTAAACTGCTGTCTGCTGATTGCTAAATCGTTTGTATGGTGTACTCCTTCCCTGTTCGAAAGGCCGTCTTTCGATTGGCCGGGCCAGCAGTTGCAGTGGCGGGGTACGGTATCGGTTCCAACAAAATAAGGATAACAACAAATACGAATATTATTTAACGGTTTTTTCCACTGGTTCAATCGTTAGATTTTTTTATTGTTAACGTACTTCGATTGACGATCAAGTATTCATTGTGTTTAGACGTAAAGTTGTTTGCTCGTTAATTTTGTACTTTTGATACGTTTGTAATTTTTTCCCGTTCGTTTCGTTTAACTGTGTGACTTGTTTAACACCGAGTGGATCCGACTGGAATATTTTAACCTGTATGGAATACCTATATGTCTACTGTTTGATTTATTAATTTTTTTTTTGTTTGTGCAACTTGATCATAGCTATGGCTACATTCGTCGTGAGTATTTTACGTTTTTATTTTGTTATATTTCTTTTTTTATGTCCTAAATATCTACTAACTGCATGTTTGTCCAAGTATACCTACCTAAGATCTATTTTCATTCATAAGTAGTGTGAAACTAGTTATTTAATTATTAAAACTACAAATATTTCTTTACAATACAGAATTTCAGATTTTCTACAGGTAACTTGAAATTGAATTAATGATTTTAGAAACCTGTCAGTCAAGTGACAATTTTCTAATTTTAAAAAAACTTAAAAACATTTTCGTTGTGTATTTCTTAGTGAGAATTTAATTTTTTTTTTTTTTCGCAAATATGTGATTTTTAATGCTTAATCCATTGGTATAATCAAAACTTACGTATTATACTTTTAGTTTTACATAAACCTTGAAACATAGCATTTTTGGAATTAATTCGAAATGTGGTAATTTTTATTATTTTTATGATTTTTAGTTATTGATATGTTGATAACGAAATTTTTTTTTTTAAGTCAGAATAAGTCATTCTAGCTTTGATTTAAAGTTACAAACTTTCAAACCCTATTGACTCTGCCAGATCTCTAGATGCATCCAAAATGCTTTTTCACTTTTCTCTATTAGCTACCTGAAGTGGTTTTGCACAACAAATCGTTGGCTATTTTCTAATAAAACAGTCCAAGTGTGTGTATCGAGTGAGCCCGCCAGATCTCTAGGTGCACCCAGAAATTTCTCCCCATAGATTTAATTTTTCATAGAACCAACCCTGGTTTTCATGATATTTTAAATAATTTTAGAAAAGTATTGGTAATGGTCCAATACACTACCTACATCATAAATTTAATGTACCTTTAAGTTAATTTCAAAAATGTTTTATTTCACTCCCTAGTTTCACAATAGCTATTATGAATTAATTTAGTCAGTTGCTGTAAAGGTTTTTTTTTTACCACTTAACTTGAAAAATATCTACTATACCAACAAAATAGCGTTAAGTTCACACACACACATATAGACTACAAATGACTAACAAAAGAATGAAATATAGTTTAAATATAAATGTTACTCAATATTAATACAATAAAAATTAACATATATATTTCTTGATTAAAGAGTTTATTTTTAACTAAAATATTCAATAATTGTTACAAAGATAAAGTTTAATAACATATTAATACAAAAAATATAATTGTACCATTTTTAGTAAAATTATTTTTTTAAAGAAACAATTATTTAATTAGACTTATGTATGTAATATGTTTTTAGTAGCATAAAAACATTTTACAAATTTTATTTTATACATATTACCCATTTTTATTTTTTGTGATATATATTTAAATTATTGTTAAACAACTCCTATTGCTCTAATTTCAATCTTTAGGTCTAAACAAATTAAGTAATTATGGTATCATTTTACATTTATACTTTTTAACATTGACTTAACAAATTTATTTTACATACCTATATTCAAAGTAATTCATTTAACAAACAACACTCATAGTTTTGCAAAACATTGACTTTTTTAAGAAAATTTCTTATGAATTTAAGAAACAAGAAGTTCTAAAGGGTTGCCTGCCCCGGTGTTACTATTATTTTTTGTCACCCTTATTTTTGGGTTGTACCGACTACCTATTTTTGGTTTTTAAATGGGAACTTTTATCAACAGTGATTTAAAAATCAAAAGTATATAGTCATCTCAATAATTGTAATGTAACATTTTAAAGTTAATTGTTATTAAATTGTAATCAATATTTTATGAAATAATGAGTGTTTTACATTAAATGAATCATCTTTTATAAAGTTAAAATTTATATTGTTAATACCTATTTTTGTTTTATTAATTCATTATTTGTATTTATTTTAGAGTTACCTAATTATAAAATGCTTCAATTAAAATTACATGTTAAAATGGTTTTTCTTTTAAATTACTGTTCTTTTTGCTCCTACAAGTTGTAATAATTTATTATATAATAATAATAGATATAAATATGGTTAAAAATCAGAAAAAAGTCCTATCTTTAAATGTAATTTGTTTTTATTTAAAAAATTAATGCATTGACTTAAATCAAATCCAATTAATTTTTTTCAAAATATTAATTAAAATTACCTATATTTTAGTTAGTATTATATTTTAAAATAAATTTTAGGTTGTAGGTTTATGTTAATTTCTGCTTGTTATTTACTAATTACCCAACTATTTAGTTTATAATACTAGAAAAGTATAAACATTTAACCGTCTATAACCAGAAATATTGATAATAATATTGAAATTATTATTTTAATTTCTAAATTACATTTTTGCCTAATGAATAGATATTATTAAAAAGGTAGTTAAGTATCTACTATATAAAATTGTATAATTTTGTTTAGGTGGAATTTTCACCTCCAATAAAAATGAAATCAAAACAAAATGATGAGAATTTGAATACAACAGAAAAATATTCTTTGGTCTTGGCACCATTTCAAAAACAGATTCAAATAGAATTTCTAAATGTAAAAATTAAAGAGACAGCCATTCGATATTTAACTGTTCTTAACCCATTTGATCAGCCTAAACAGGTTATTAGTTTTTACAATATATATATACAATTTACATCTTTCTTATTGGAATAATATTAATTCATTTTTCTAAATTTACAGTGTGTTTTACCGCCACCTAGTGATGGTATATTTTTTGATGTTTATGAATTCACTTTACAAGCAAATTCACAGCGTATATTATCAATTACCTGGCAACCATTTATATCTGGAACTATTCGTAAATTAATTAAAATAAAACAAGTGGATAGCAATATAAAATATGAATTCCTTATTTTAGGGAATTGTGTCTCCTCTTTGAACAAAAATGTAAAGGTTAGTGCTCCATTTTTGTTTTAATTTAAGTATATTGTACTCATATGTTTTATCTTATATTAATTCTGCTTCATATACTTTTAATGAATCACTATTTTTATTTTCGTTGAATATTATTATTTAACATGTTTCAGGGTACTTCTGTGACTTATTCAAAGTCGAAAAATTCAAGTTTGATAAAAAAACATTTAAACTATGGTAAAAAAAAAATAACTTTGAATAAAACTAGGATTGTCAATAGTAAATCAGAAAGAATTGTTTTAATGGAGAATCGTGAAAAAATATCCAAATCTATTTGTCCAGAAAACATACAAACCCCTGCTAGACGGGAAACATATTTAATTGAAGAAAAAGAAAATCTTTCCAATTTAAAAACAAAATTATTTGATTGTGATAATATGCTCTCCAATCCCATTCAAATATTAAGACAAAAAGATAATAAATGTCCAAATTATGATTTAAATAATCATTTTAACAAAACTAATGATAACTTGAATTATAGTTTTGACTCATTGGATGAACCATTAAAGAAACCTGTTACCAATTACTCCTCATTTAATGATTTCTGTTTGACACCATTAAAGAGTACTGAAAACTTGCTTTCTCCATTTAGTTCTATTGGTAAATCTAATAGTTTTAACACCACTAATATAGATTTGGCATCTATTTCTTACAATACATCAATATTTAAACCAATAGAAGCATCAACTGCGGGTAAAATATACGAGTATACTCCCCCTGAAGAGAGAAAACCTAATAGAGTATCAATGAATTTAAACAAAATATTTAAAGAAAGCCCTAAGAATGATTTAAGTAGACCTAATAAAACTTATAATAAAGAATTGGAATCATACTTAACACCTCCTAATGATGGAAAATCATTAGATTTTGGGAAAACACAAGAATGGGTAATCAAACATGCACCGCCGAATCATACAAGTAATGTTTTAACATGATTTGAACAATTTTTTGACTATAAATTACATAATATTTAACTTAATACTAATATAAAGAAAAATTTTAATGTTTCCATATAATTGTTAGATTCAACTTCAAGCAGTAAAAAACCAACAAAGCGACCATCATTTGCTATTAAAAATTCTCCATATTATAAATGTAGCCCAAAATCGACATTTTTGTTAAAGAATAAATTGAAACAACACAGTAAGCATTTACCATAAATACAATACTTATAGTTAAAAAACATTGAATGGTATTTTTAAAAATTTACATAAGAACAATAATCAAATTATTTAAATTAAGTACATTGAAATTAGAAATATCTATTTTTGTTGAAAAAATTAATCATACATTTATATTTAATATTTATCAATTTTTATATAATTCTAAACTGTACTTATACTTCAATTTAATATGATTTAGAAATTAGAAGTTATGATTAAATTCAGAAATAGAGTAGAACTTTTTTTTTTTTTTGAGTGGAATGTTGGTTTTACAATGATGTATATTTTTTTTCATTTGTGACTAATGTTTCTACCATAAATTTTGCTTCAATTTTCAATTAAAGCACTTTTTCTGAACAGAAATTAAACTGAGGTGGTACTTTAGAAAGGTAATATTTTGATTTTTCTAAGGATTTTCATATTAAATGAGAATTAACTTGGGAAAATGTATGAAATTATTATAAAATAGTAAATATAATGGCCTTTCAAAACATGTTTAACTTAACTCTGCTCAAAATCATTTTTTATTAACGTTGTTAAATTCCCCTCTATATCCAATCTTCTTCGCCTACAACTGTGGCCCTCCCATTATAAAAATTATCTCAAATATCTTTTTAAGTTTTTTTTTTTTTTCTATCAGATTGATATTAAAAGTGGAGGTTATGATTTTTAATTTAAAAAATTTTCTAAATTTATTCTATTGCATATAAAAAAAACTCATTCTTTTAGACATTCGTAGTCCAAAATCAAATCGGTTAAGAACTCCAAAATTAGATAAGTGTGATCAGTATCTTAAGTGTGTAGCAAATCCAGAACTTGTACATCACAGTAATGGTGAAGATCCATTTTTAAAGTTGTAAGTGAATTTTGAAGTATAATCAGTTTTAGATTCTATAATAATTAAAAGTAATTTGTTAGGTCTAAATACTATGCCGCGGAATGGCTAGATCGCCAAGAATCTGATATGATTCGATGGTTAAATGAACTACTTATGCCTACTGACAAGTTAGCAGAAGAAGAAAAATCTGATGACTTAAAGCAAGCAGCTGGATCTTGGGAAGAAGTGTCCAAAATGTGTAATAAAAATAAGCCTATGCAATTTGCTACACAAAAAGATCTGTTTGTTGCACAGATATACAGACAATCACCTCAACAGTGGAGTGCATTAAGAAAAGCAACATTCAATCTTATTACATCTAATAAAGTTTCCTCTGTTCTATCAAAATTAACAGTGTCAATTGAAAAGAATCTTATAACTGTACGGGATGATCGTCAAATACACTTGGACTTGAGTGAGTATTTTGAAAGTTAAAATATTTCTAATAATTTAAAACAAATAATGATGTGTTTGTTAGGTTTAAAGAAAAAAATTACAGATTTGTTAAAATGCTATAACCCATTGTGGCTCCAAATTGGTTTAGAAGCTATATATGGTCAAGTTATTTATATAAAGCAGGATTCTAATGACTTGGATGGACTTGGCTGGTTTATACGTAAACATTTGTTTAATAATGATTTTGTCAAACAGAAGTTTACCAAAACTACTGTACTTCAAGTTAACCTTCCTTCTTACAATGTAAGAAAAAATGTTTACATATTAAATTTGTTAATGACCTAAAAAAAATAATAATAATTTTACACTACAGATAGCCATGAAAAAATTTATTTTGAGAAAAATACTCATGCTTATATATTTTTTGGACTTTGCTAAAGAACAACAACTAATAAGACATAATCCATGTCTATTCAAAATTGATTCACCTTATAAAGTAAGTGACTAAAATATGGATTAAGTATTGTCTTTTATAATCAAAAACATTTAATTAACAGAGTAGCTATGACTTTCTTATGGGATTTTGTGCTGATATGGTGACAGCCCACGGAGACATAATCCGGCGCCTACGTAATATTGATTACAATTTGATTCATAAACAAACGCATTTGGATGAAGTCAATTATGCTGTAAGGTCATTAAATGACTTGAGGGATGGTACTAGAATGACCAAAGTTGTTGAAATTTTATTCAAAGGAGATTCATTATCACAGAAATTAAGACTTCCTGCTATATCAAAATTACAGAAAATCCACAATGTTGATTTGGCGTTAAATAGAATTTCTGAACATATCAAAATTGAAGGTAACATTAGTACAAGAGACATTGTAAATGGTCATAGAGAGAAAATATTATCACTATTTTGGCAGATAATTTATAAATATTTAACTCCTCGATATAATGATGCAGCTATAAAAATTCAAAATTGGTGGCGAAATAATAATCTCAACTTAATTATTTTGAAAAGAATTAGGGTCAAACGAAATTTAAAACTTCATTTAGCTGCTACAAAAATACAAGCATGTGTTCGGGGTTACTTGGCCAGAAAAAAATGGCTACATATTCAAGATGACTTAATTGAAAAGCGAAAACATTTTTTAATTTTGAAAAAAGCAACTGTATTTATTCAAAGGAAATTTAGATATAAACTTGCAATGAGGAGAAATCAACAAAAATATATGAAACCAGAAGAAGCCGCTTTACTTATACAAAAAATGTACCGCGGTTTTATGATCAGAAAGAATTGGTTTCATATAAAAAATTGTCTAGTCTTTAATAAAATGAAGAGAATTAATGCCATTAACACAATCAAACATTTTTTAAGAAAAAACTTACCACTCTCTAAAGATCAAATATACTATCAAAATATAATGCGTATAACTTTGACTATTCAAAGAAGATTTAGAGCTAAACGAGCTATGGTAATTCAAAGAGAAATTTATTTAAAAATAAAAATTGCTGTACTTAAATTACAAGCAGTAGCAAGAGGTTACATTGTTCGTAAACAATGGCCAGAATTATGTAGTAAACTACAAGCAGAAAGAATGCATTTAATTATTGCTAGTAACATCATCAAAAGAGTGTTGAGAAAAAATCTTCCGCCCACAGATGACCGTATTGAATTCCTCAAGTTAAAAAAATCTGCTACAATTATACAAAAAAAATTTCGATCTATGCAAAAAATGAAAGAACAAAGAAAGAAATATTTACAACTGAAAACTGTTACAATTAAATGTCAAAGTGTGATCAGAGGATATTTATTAAGGAAACAATGGCCATTTTTACGAAATAATTTGATAGCAAACAGGCAGATTTTGATCAATTGTAGTAATGTGATTAAAAGGGCTCTAAGAAAAAATATTCCTACAACCTATGACAGATTAGAGTTCATTAAGCTTAGAAGAGCTGTGATTATTATTCAAAGTAGATTCCGAGGTTATAAGCAAGCAAAAGAATATCAGACATTGCGTTATAGTGTTATTGTGATCCAAAGAAAGTTTAGAGCCAATATAGCTATGAGACAACAGAAACAAATTTATGAACACACTAGAATTATTACTATTAAATTACAAGCACAATTTAGAGGGTACATAGTACGTAAAAAATGGTCAGAAACTAAATACATTCTAGAAGCTAACCAAAAAAAATTAGTTTCAGCCAGTAACACTATAAAAAAGTTCCTACGTCTATGCTTACCACCAACCTCTGAACGGTTAAGATATTTGCAGTTAAAACAAACAGTAATTAACATGCAAGCAAGATATAGGTCTATTGTTGCAATGCAATTGGTAGAAAGAGAATATTTGTTGTTAAAAAGTTCTGCAATCACATTACAGAGGCGTTATAGAGCGCAAAAGGCAATGATGGCACAAAAACAACAATACAAACACCTAAAATATTCCACAATTGTATTGCAGGCTTATGTCAGAAGCTACTTAACACGTAAACGTTGGCCTCAGTTAAAGTCTTCTTTAAAAATCATTCAGGACAAAAAAATGGAAACTTTAAAGGTAAGGATATTAGCATTTTATTTTTGTACTCATGTATGAATATTATAAATAGTGAATCTTCTTGTTTAATAATAATTAATGTGTAGCATTACTTCTGTAAAAGAATGAAAAAATACATTTTATAAATTTTAAGCATATATGTATACTTACAGAAATTGAATTTGGCTGCATTAAGAATACAAGCTGCCTTTAGAGGATTTTTGGTTAGAAAAAAATTACCTCAGTTGAAGAGTGATAGATATATGCAAAAACAATTGCATGCTGCCACATTGATACAGGTAAATTATCAACCTTTAAAATATGCATGTATTTATATTTATTCAGTTCAATATAAAATTGCCATTTATTTATTTATTTTATAGGCCCAATGGAGAGGTTATTGTGTGAGGAAAAAAGTACAATGCCGAAGAGAAACCATTAGGATGCCGAAGAAAGGTGGTCTTACATTAGGCAGACGACACAAAGATGTAGTTAACGTGTTAACAAAACAAAAGAAAAATGAATATTCTTATCGGGATTTAGCTACAGTTTTTTGGAACTTAGGTAAATATTAATTAACATTGATCTAATCTTTAAAGTTTCAAATTTTAATTCTAATTACAAATAATATTGTTAAAACATTACATTCAATCTTTTTCTTATCCATTTAAATTAAAAAACTATGTTTTATTCAATTTAAAATAAAACAAAATATATAATTTCCTTTTAAAATTATAGTTTCAATAAAATCTATTTTATATTATTTATATATTATATTTTAGATTCGGAACATAGTGATGTATCTTTTGGTTTTATTATGTGTAATTTTTCATCTAAACTACTTTTCTACCAGAAATCCTGCTCCGATGTATAAAATGTAGTACTTTTTCTAGTTTGAGCATTAGTGATGTAATTTTTTTGGTTTTCCAAGGAGTTATAATAGGAGAGGGGAAACAATTATAGGTAAAAGTTAATTGTTTTTAATTTTGCAAACTTTTTCTACAAAAAATCTATGGTCTAAAAATAAATTTAAGTTTATTATATGTTTTTTTAAGCTTTTTAACCTAAGATCAAAGTTCAATGAAAATCAAAATAAATTGTAGCATTTTAAAATATATCCCACTGAACTTTGCTCTGAGTCTTAGTAAATTGGCTTTTCAAATTATGTATTACTGAACTATCTTGTCTTTTTGAACCTTTTGCCAAAAAATAGTATATTTTTACATACAGATATAAATTAAATAACTTTTTGTATCCTACCTTCCCAACTTCCCACCTACAACAGTTGTTACACCCGGCCCCAATATCAGTTCTATTTTAAATTTGTATATTGTATATGATATTTTTATTTCCTTTAATATTCTCTAAAATATAGTTTTCATTAAGAAATATTTATTATTTTATAATATTTATATGATTTTTAACAAGTTTTATTTTTTTTTACCAGATACTTGTACTTCATTATCAAAAGAGTTGTGTGTGAAGACCTCTGAAGGTGATATAGTAGACTATATGTTTCACTTTTTACAGTCTTCCAATCAATCACAACCAAGCATTGAAGCTAGAGAACCAGCAATCCGTGTGCTTATAAACTTATTGAGATACCATGAAACTTCATGGCACATCTGGACTGTAAGTAGAAAAAATACAACCATTTTTTTTTCTTATTAGGTAAAAAGTACATTCATTAATTAAAACTTATTATCAATCAAACTTTTTTTTATTAATATTTATCCCTATTAAAATTCCATCATTCCCACATGTGCTAATAGTTTTAAAATTAGCGTGAATCGACCTTTTATCAAATTTAAAAATATTAACATTGTCTGTGCTGCTCGTTATTTTAATTCTTAAAAAAGTTATAATAATTTTTCAAATTGTGTTACATGATTATATCTCATGTACAAATTAAAATATTGAAAAAAAAACCTACCCAGAATATGTTGGTATATTTAAATCGGATAATAAATCAATTTAGTCTAATTTCTAAACTAACACCACAAAGTTGTCCATGCTAAATGATGGAGACACATGCAGTATGACTCTTCAGCAAAAATTTTAATAGATTATAGGTTAGATCATATATGAGTTAAATTAAAATTATTAAACTACATTTTTGTATTGTTTAAATTGTCATATCCATATATTACATAAATAAGAGAAAAGGCAAAAATATTTCATAAAATCCTCTTGAATTTTGGTTTGTTGTAGAGAACAGTAAATACTGATATGGTCAAAGAGCTAATCAAGATTATGAAAACATGCTGCGGTAAAATTAGTGCCAACAAGTTGTACTGTTCTTTAGCTACATGGCTTTGGGTAGCATTACAAGATCCTAAAAAAAAACAGGTATATATTTAGTTAAAAGTTTCTTTATAATATAATATTGTATTCTCAATTTCACCTAGAGCATGCTTATAAAATATAGAAATTATACTGTAACAAAATTATTTATCGTAACACATTTCAAAATTCATTTTATTGATATTTAATATTCACCAACTTTCCTGTACAAAAAACATATACTCATTATTAAGAACTGTTCTAGTAATGTAAAGAAATTGCCAACCAATATAAAAATTATCTTTATCATGTCTCTTTAATGGCTAAATTAATTTAATTTTAATAGAATGATGTATTACACGTATATTTTTTTATAGTACATTAAAACCATTCCAAGTGTTATCACAGACTTAAAGTTCATGATAGACACACTAAACAAAAGATACAAAAATCGTAAAATGAATAAAACAACAAAGGTCTTACCATCAACATTGCCTACATGGAGTATTGGTTCCAAATGTCAAAAATGTTTTGACTCTGATCTATTTGCTACGACTCAACTATGGAAACACTTAAACTCATAAATATTAAGATTTTTTTTTTTTAATTATTGATTTTAGTTTATACATTATATTTATGTGTATAATTTTGACATTATTTTTTTGTAAGACAAAAAAATTAGTAAATTGTTTTTATTTCTCGAGTTATTAAATTCAATGAATATATTCATAATACAGGTTATTATAATCAAGTGACTTCAATAAAAGTTAATAGATTTACAATGGTTTAACTATTTTTTATCGTATAATTTTTATTAATTTTTTCTTATAAATTTGTTATAATTATTTTTATTGTACTTTTGTAATTAAATATTAACAAAAATATTGAATATATTATTATTTTAATTATATAGAAACATAGAGTGTAAAATATATATTTGGTCTAATGGTTTTTAGAAAAATTGACTGGACACTTATTTTTTCACTATTATCAAGTACATGTATATATTATATTCACCACATACTATACTTTCATTTAATCTAAAATAAGATTAAAATTATTTACTGATATAATGATAACTAGACAGGATGTTGATGACTTTTTTTTTATCCTAAACAATGCTACCTTAGCTAAAAATTTGTTTTATATGTCATAGATTTAAAATGTATACATTATTTTTTTTTTTTTTTTTACAACATTTTGGATTCTGAGTGAAGCAATGAATATTATTGGTTTTACAATTATATTTATTTTTTTATATATACTGTGCATAAAATGTCTCCTAGAATTCTTGCCCTGATCAAAACATAACAAAAGATCTTTTTGGTGTATTTTGACTGTACTTGATACTTAAGAAAGGTCATTTTTAAAATTCTTATTAATATTCAAGATAATGAGGAAAAACTGATTCTTTAGGTTAAAAAAGACTAAAAATAAAGATGTCATTGGCAACCAGTTTATTTATTTTTTGATACTATTAAATTTTTGTTTTAATATTTTTTAAACAATTGTCATGAAAATTCATGTTGTTGAAAAATAATTTTTGATTTGTTTTTAATCGTTTTGTTTTTACAATGATTAATCATTGTGTACAGATATAAATGAAAATCACCTCTATATTCAACCTCTCACCTACAATAGAGGCCTACCCATGATGTAAAGTATGTCTGCTAAGTTTTATATTATAAGGCATTTTTGTAATGTTCGTATATATATTACAGGTCATTTTGAATGTCATGTTAAAAAATAACGGATTATTGATAGTTAGTTAGGAATTATTGTAAGCAATGATATTATTTTCAATTATTGATAAAACTACCCAAGTCTAAATAAATATAAATTTTATAAAACAATGAATATTACCACATAAAGTAAAACTGTAATTAAATATTTCACTGTTTTATAAAATATTTCACTGTTTTATAAAATATTTAATGCCATTGTATAATTTAATATAACTATACAGGTACCTATCAATAATAATTCTTGTATACTTTTAGGTTAAGGATGATTTAAAATGAACTTACATTTTAGGGAGTATTCACATTATATTATTTTGCATTGACAAACAGACCGTTATAAATGAAAAATAATTTTAAATGTACAGTTAAGTAACTACAAGTAGTGCAACAAGTCCTGCAATGCATAATTTTAATTTTAAAACCATTTTTAAGCACCTGTCCACCAAACATTTGGCCAAGGTAGCAATTACCTTAGATGAACAAAAAACAATAAAAATTAAAAACATATTTGGGTGCATGACATTTTAAAATAAAAAAATTGAGGGCGAATTTTATAGTAAATGTGCATCTCTTGAAAACAATTTTTTATTTATTTTAGAAAGTGCTCATTTTATCCAAGGATATGGACATTCTTTCATACAATGTTTGTCGGTGCAATATGGTCCATTTAGTATCTGTAAATTGATTAATAATTTGTCAGTTTGATATGATTGCAGTCTGGTGCCGGTCTGCGAGTGTTCAGTGTGAATCATCCTTTAAATATGTAGGTACCTATTTATTTTTACTATCATATAAGTAAAATATTATATGTTTTTATTTAAACAGTTAGTAAAAAGTTAAGTAGAATTTATTAAATTAGTTGGATGTGAGAAGATTTTTAAATGCGTAAAATCTAATTATTTTTTGCCCACCCTCCCCTAAAATAAGAGCCAAGTGCCATCTATGGAATCACTATGGAATTTTGTTTAGATCTTATCATTATCAACCAACAGTTTTTCATCCTGTTATTTATTTTAATGTTATTTTCAGTCTATCTATTTCTGAGTTTGTGTTGCAAAACATATTGTTCAATCTTTTTTATTTTAAAATATTTGTGAATTCTAAAAATATATACATATTTCACTACTCAAGCCCTGCATTCCAAATGATACTGTTTCCAGATTTTGGAAAACAATTTACAAATGGCCAACTTGCTAGCAACTTAAATAACTATATTTCCAAATTGTTAATCCAATAAAAGATTTTTCATTGCAAAAAAACATTTTTTTTATTACTATCTCTGTTTTAAATGCATTTAAAATGGTCAAGTGTAAATACAAGGGGACATGTCCAACAATTTAAAATGGCTACAAATGTTTATGTTAATTTTTGTTAATTACCGAGATGATTAATTTTTAAAAAGATGGATAATAACATGATTCATTTATTTTTACGTCTAGCGAGAACCTTCACAGTTTTTTGTACCTTTTGTAAAATTTAACTTTAGGCATATGTCCCCTTTCTACAATTATAACGATTTATATATTCTCTTATAAGTTATAAGACTATACAAACTTTTTTTTAACTGGGGGAATATAAAACAGCCGAACCGTATTTCAGCCAAACCACCCGAAACTCGACTAATTGTCATCTTGAGTAAGACACATTTGTTTCCCGCCAACACCGATCGTTTTAAATACTTTTCAATTTATTGATTTTTAAACTCAATTTGTGAAAAATTAAAAAATCATAATAAAAAAATGAATTTAATTTCTGAGCTCGCTCATTAAAATAAGATTCGTGGATTTTAATCAAATATTTTATTTTTTTACAACCTCCATTCACGAATCACGGATGTGTTATCACTTATCAGTTCTTGAATTATTGGTGATTTACAGATTTAGTTTTAACTGACGAGTACCTATTGGCTAGGTAACTTACTCAATACTCGTAAGTCCGACAATTCGCCTATACCAAAATGTGTACGTACTATTTATTAGACGAATAAATGAGATTGAAAACCTGGGCCTTAATAAACTGGGAACATAGAAATGACTCATTGAGTTGATGATTCGTGATAACGAGAATTGTTTAATTTAATGAACTTGGGACCGAGTCAACTCATTAGAGTGAACCGAGTTAAGTGAACTGATTGATGGCATTGAGTTAAAAATCCCATCAGTAATTGTAATACATACAGACTGTGTTTAGATACATTATGATGTTGGTATATATGTCAGTACCTACCTATTATGATTTAAGATCACAAAATGGCATTGATACATAATTAATATATTATAGTTACATCATTTATAATCGCATTTCAAATTTATTTTTGTCAATCAAAGAATAGACAAATTACAAGCATTCTATTTTGTTTTCAAAAAAAACATTGTAGGCATTATCACATGATACCTAATTATTATACTTACTACAAATGTATTTCAGAGTGAACAATGTTTTTTTTTTTCTCAATATTTCGTTTTCATAAATATAAAAATCATATCATTAGATAGTAGCACATGATACCGAGATTTAATATAACATAAAAAAAATATTTTAATATATGCATAGGTACTGTATTTAGCCACATCATATATATATATATATATATATACCTATGTGGTTTCCTGTATTATGCGTTGTATGTGTGAAATATTTTACGTTGATATAGGTACTTAAATAAAATGAAAAACAACCAAGACGTAAGACTTCTGAACGTGGCGGAAATTTAATTATTTCAAACTCCCACCAATACCGTTTTATTAGAAATCTTGCATAAGTTTTTTGATAATTAATTTATGAGCAATGAGTTTTAACTTGAATATAGTTCGGCTACGTCGTATATAATTGCGTTCTCAATAGTACCTATTTACTGTTTTTTTGGAAGGTTAGCGACTATTTCATTGTTCCATTTCGAGCGTTCTCAATCGTATTGTAACCCCTTCCCTCCAAACATTTTTCCAATATATATTAAATATTTTTATAAATGTATGATTTGTGCAATTTTGTGATATATTTATATTTTGAAATTTTTTTTACACTAGCCATCTCGCCAACAAATATTTATTTTTACATGTTAGTCATGTATACAATTATTTCATATCGAAATAAAATTAAAAAATTGGGGAGACAGGTATGCAATGTACATACCTATATATTTTCACTCGTATTTAGGTACTTACCTAGGTGAAGGTATGTATTAAAACAGATACCGATCTACGCACAGTTATATCGGTGAAAGTCGAGAACCGTTTTAATTAATTACGTATTAAAATAATTAAGTATAAGGGAAATCTGTTGTGAACACCACTTTTAATAGCATACGCCGTGCATTTTTTATCATAGGTTATATTATACGAATACTCGCGGGTGAATAATGTCAAACATTTATTAGGTACCTACCTAGATGGTCACTTTTAATTTGGTCGGGTCAACATCAATCATAATTTAAAACAGCTAGGTACTTATAAATCCGTAATTTCATCATCACTAGGTAGCCGAAATATGTTCTTAGAAGATTCCCTCTCGAGTTATATGCATTTTTTAAATAGTTTAAATATGGAGATAAGAACTAGTTCTAATGGCCACAAATGTATTTATTTTATCAATTGAGTTTTATTAAAATTTCATTTTAATTTAAAAATATATAATATTATAATAGTAATAGGTATCTACGAATTTTATTAAAAACCTACGGATATACTTCGTAACACGGGTAGTCACTGTTTTGTGAAAAGTTGGAAAGGTAGATTATAAAGAGGAGAATTTAATATACATATACGTCACGATAAAACATTGCTAACAAAAAACGATTCTGAGCGGAGGTCGACCAATATTATTATTTTTTCAACAATGTACGTTTTCACTATTTCAAAAAAAGATATTTTCTGAAGTATCAAGTAGAGCCAAAATACAATAAAAAAGTTATCTTGTCATGTTTTGATTAGATCAATAATTTTTCTATGAAAAATTGTATACACAGTATAAAAAAAAATTTAAAAATAAACATTATAAATAGGTAACCAATACATTCCTCTCTCCGCTCAGATTCTAAAATTATAAT